TGATTATGTTTGTACAGTATTTAAAATATAACAACATCTCCACCAGAATATACAGTATTTATGCTCATGCAAGTCTACAGTAGATAAATTCACTGATTGACTGGGCCTCCCAGTTGAAATAGATAATGAAATGGATTTAAATCTGTTCTATTTTAATATCACAAGTTTCATATCAAGTATATGGCTCCTAAAAGTCTTGGTATTTAGTAGCTGTGTTTTTAAATTTATGAATTCATCATCAATATATTAGTTCATAAACATTTTTATTTTATTTGTTTAACTATCATAAAAGGTGACATTTCTTAGTTTAGAAGGTCAGCTTATATCCTGTCTCTTATACACATCTAGATGTGTATAAGATAAGTCTCGTTTTGAGGCTTACTCTAGGGAATTAATTTGTGAGAATAAATGTTAGTTTATCACAGGATTTTTAACCTAGAATACTGTGATTGAAAGGCAGGCATCTTAACCACCATGCTACAGTACAGGCATACAAACATAAAAATTGTCCTTGAGCATGAAGGACCTTTCCAATAATGTCAATGATCAAAATAAACAACCAACCAGCGGAAGTGGGGGCCAGAAATAAAAACTTGTCCCGCAAAAACATGTTTTGATATACAGGTATATATGTTTGCACTGTCATTATATAGAGGTACATTTATGCTGTTGTTTTGTGGGAACTTATTAATATCCAAGGTGCATGGCTTAGTGAAAAGGTTGATTTTAAATCTACTACAGTATTTGCATCTGTATTATAGGAAAAATTTATGATCTTAAAATCCAGGGAAAATGATGGTGCAGAAGGTCGTATTTTAAGGTTGGAATTTAAAAGTAAATTGGACATTCTGTCAATCATTCATCCCCCCCCCCCTCTGAATTTGCCAGTGGTATAAACTTTGATACAGAAGCTGAGAAATAGTGGCGGTATTTAATGGAGAAATATACCGCTGGTAGAAATTGTAATTGTAAGCCTATTTAGAGAAATGCTGGTTGTAAAAACTTGATTATGGCTTTGTGTGCATTAAAAGACATTGAGACCGGAAGAAAGCTTTTTATAGTTAACCTTTACCTAGACTCTCAAAATGGCTGCCATTCGCAAGGCTATGAGGTACTGCGGTGGGTTCAGATATTTGCAGGAGGGGAGCAGAAAGGAAAATGCACTCTAAATTGTAAATGACACAAGTTGTGGGGAACCGTCTTTTGTCTTGTCACCCTCCTATTTTTTAGAAACTTGAAGCTAAAAATAATATTAGATTGACTACCAAAACAAGAAAAAAGGCTGAGTGACTATTTACCAACATGGGTGGGGGGTGCCTTTACTTGTCCAATGGTGGCTTTCATTGGGGGCTTAAGCCCCTGTTGCACCCCCATTGGTGCCGCCACTGATGTCAGCGACAATCTTCCCCTCTGGATCCGCCCCAGGGATATCATAATGTTTAGGTCATTCTCTGAAGCCCAGTCAGCCAAATACTCAAGTAGTGCCATATATACAAGATTGTTCTACGCAATAAGGGTGCAGGTGATTAATACTCTTAAGGTAACTGGTGCCACTACAGTACACTTCCTACGCATCTCGACAGATGTACTGTGTTTTAAAGTACACATGAGCCAATTTGTGTACTGTACACTGGGCTCTCGGTTATAGTACTTTCACTTCAATATATTGTACAGTCATAAGTATCTCTTCGGAATAAACACCGTCGTTTATGGTAATTACTGTATTTGATACTGTGAGAAAACCTTTAGAAAATCTACAGAGTTAAATATATTGAAATACTCATAGATTAAACTGTACTGTCTGGCAAAATAGATCTTGGTTTTTTTTTGGTTTTTTTTTCAATTAATTTCTAGACATCATTAAATTAACATTTTAAAATATGTATCCAAACTAAAATGCTCGCATCTGACACTGATGGGAGAGGAGATCAAGCTAATTACAAAATAGAAAAGTCCTGCCTACATAGAAGATGAACTGCTTTTGAACAAGCTTCATGGTTTTCTTTGAAACTTGCGCTGCTACACAGAAGGAATCTTAAATGTTTGGATTTATTGTTGATGAAATTTGTCATGCTGTCATTACACATTTATGATCTTAAAATCCAGGGAAAATGACGGTGCAGAAGGTCGTATTTTAAGGTTGGAATTTAAAAGTAAATTGGACATTCTGTCAATCATTCATCACCCCCCCCCCCCCTCTTGCCAGTGGTATAAACTTTGATACAGAAGCTGAGAAATAGTGGCGGTATTTAATGGAGAAATATACCGCTGGTAGAAATTGTAATTGTAAGCCTATTTAGAGAAATGCTGGTTGTAAAACCTTGATTATGGCTTTGTGTGCATTAAAAGACAATCACTGACTGCTGACCATACTAAAATTGAGACCGGAAGAAAGCTTTTTATATTTAACCTAGACTCTCAAAATGGCTGCCATTCGCAAGGATATTAGGTACTGCGGTGGGTTCAGATATTTGCAGGAGGGGAGAAGAAAGGAAAATGCACACTTGTAAATGACACAAGTTTAAATGATGTGGGGAACTGTCTTTTGCCTTGTCACCCTCCTACTTTTTAGAAACTTGAAGCTAAAAATAATATTAGATTGACTACCAAAAGAAAAAAAGACTGAATGACTATTTACCAAAATGGGTGGGGGGTGCCTTTACTTGTCCAATGGTGGCTTTCATTGGGGACTTAAGCCCCTGTTGCACCCCCATTGGTGCCGCCACTGATTTCAGCGACAATCTTCCCCTCTGGATCCGCCCAGGGATATCATAATGTTTAGGTCATTCTCTGAAGCCCAGTCAGCCAAATACTCAAGTAGTGCCATATATACAAGATTGTTCTACACAATATTGAATACTGTTACGTTTACCTATAATTGTAGAAGATATTTGTAAATAAAAGACAAACTGAAGAAGAAATTCAAATCTGAGACAATAATTTTGTTTATACTGTTAATAATAGCAGGTAAGGTACTGATAAAGCTTATACAGTAAAACCTGAATTATATATGCAGAAATGTTGTGAATGATGTAGACATTCCATATTTGTCACATTGACCTATTTTATTGATTACTATGGTCATTTATATATCTAATGTATTAGTAAATTTATGTGTTGGTATCAGCCGCACTCACTGAAATGGTATGTTCTACTAATACCTACAGAATCAGCATACATTTTTTGGGCCATGTACACTGTAAAGAACTCAGTATATCTGTTGAGATGAGTAGGGCTGGGGTTAGATCCATGTCTCAAGCGCTATGATACCTGGATAAGTCTGACTATTGTTTTAACTGGTCTACTAAGGGTGCAGGTGATTAATACTCTTAAGGTAACTGGTGCCACTACAGTACACTTCCTACGCATCTCGACAGATGTACTGTGTTTTAAAGTACACATGAGCCAATTTGTGTACTGTACACTGGGCTCTCGGTTATAGTACTTTCACTTCAATATATTGTACAGTCATAAGTACCTCTTCGGAATAAACACCGTCGTTTATGGTAATTACTGTATTTGATACTGTGAGAAAACCTTTAGAAAATCTACAGAGTTAAATATATTGAAATACTCATAGATTAAACTGTACTGTCTGGCAAAATAGATCTTGGTTTTTTTTTGGTTTTTTTTTCAATTAATTTCTAGACATCATTAAATTAACATTTTAAAATATGTATCCAAACTAAAATGCTCGCATCTGACACTGATGGGAGAGGAGATCAAGCTAATTACAAAATAGAAAAGTCCTGCCTACATAGAAGATGAACTGCTTTTGAACAAGCTTCATGGTTTTCTTTGAAACTTGCGCTGCTACACAGAAGGAATCTTAAATGTTTGGATTTATTGTTGATGAAATTTGTCATGCTGTCATTACACACAATCCTACGATCCCCATTTAATTCCTGCTGGATTAAGTCCTGATTTCAGAACACTCCTCCAGTAATGAAATCTCAAGCCTGTTACTGCTAGGTCTAAAAAAGGATGGAGAATTTTAGTTGGCTATCAACAACTTGCAACTTTCAAAATGACTAATGGAATCAATATATAATTGACCATATACAGTAATGATATAAGTCTGTTATCTTGATTAATTATAACCGTGCATTAATCATTATGCTGGTAAACTCTCAGAATTTATCATTTAGGACATGTGCTTGCATAAAGGCAAAATAAATGATCATAAAATAATAGTTATTATTATATCATTATTAACCAACAGATGCACTGATTATGTTTAAATTAACATAGAACATTACTTCAAATAAAGAGGAGGCCATGATTCAATGTTTCGACCTTTATTGGGTCATCTTCAGGAATGAAGCAAAACCATATCATTATTAAATTCTTAATATGGAATGAGAGAGCCATTTCGACCCTGTACAGTATGTGTGTATTATATCATAAACCATATATTAAAATACATATGTACACATTTGACAATAATTGGACTACACACAAAGAGGGTCCAGATGTACCAACAGTTTGCATGAAATACAGTAAATGTGTACATAATAGTATAGGTTTACTTATCATAGCACCTAAACTTAGGTTTGAAATGGCTTCCCCATTCCATATTAAGAGCTACAGTAACAGATGTCTACTATGACCATCCATAAACTTATGTCAAACCTCAAAGTATACAATATTATTATTGAACTGTAAATCACATGAAATATTGAAAGAAACACAGTGTGATGATGTGGTCTACTGTACGCCCCATGCTAATTTATTATTTACGATTATACCAAGATATTTTATGGATGATACTCTGGGTAATGCAATATTTTCTAAGAAAATCCTGCCACATAGACCCTTTTTTGTTTTAATATTTGGCAATGATATGATATGATACCAAGGACTTTTAACTGTTACCAGGATAGGAAGCTGGCTGGTTTTCCATATAACTTGAATTAACCTTATGTGCGGTATTGTTATGCAAATGAGCCAGATAAGCACAATCTGCACATGCTCAGAAAAACAAAACTTCCTTTACCACACTGCGTATCGGATAGGCATACAGCAGCTAGGCCTAGCTTATCTTATTTTTGTTTGTTGCACCACTGATTTAGGCTGTTTGTCACCACTCGTGGAAAAGGCGTGTTAAAATCCAAATATTGGCATTTGTAAGCAATACATTTTAATTTTATATAGGTAAGTAGTAAGTATGTGAATAATTTTAATACACTAGTTGATAACTTCATTCTAATTTGTTTTGGGTCTTTTTTCTGTATTTTTATTAGCGGTTAGACATGGTCTAGGCCGGGTCTAGGCTAGCCTTATCACATCAATTTAAAATCAAAGATGTAGACATACTTGCCTTATATCTCAACTTGCAGGTGATTTTATTGGTAGACTAGTTTGTTTTTAAGTGTGTAAGTATGATTGATTTGCAAGCCAAGTAAAATTAGTACCCTTATTTTGCTTTGTTTTACCGTAGCGTAATTATCGGCTAGGCCTAGCTGTACGCCTAGCCGATACGCAGTGTGGCCATGGTGTGGCTAAGGAAAGTTTTGTTTTTCTGAGCATGTGCAGATTGTGTTTATCTGGCTCATTTGCATAACAATACCGCACATAAGGCTAATTCAAGTTTAGATGGCTTAAACCAGCCAGCTTCCTATCCTGGTAACAGTTAAAAGTTCTTGATGATACAGTGTCAGTCTTGGATTTAGACAAAGGACACCGATTGCAAGTAAATTTTTGCTTGTTCTAGCTCTATATTAAAGCACTTTCAGTTTGCAAAATCTTTACATGCTTTACAGGGTTAAACCCGAAACCACCAAAATCTATCACCTTTGCTTTTAAGCAGATTCCAATAGATGGTCAGTGGTCAGCAAATTTTTTCTTGATGCTACAATGCCAGAATAAACAACTATGAATTTACTTTGCTGTTGGTTTAAGAGTTTACATATTTGCATTATGAAAATTATTTATTACCTGATTAAAATTGAACTTAAACCATAAATAAAACATGTGTGAAGAATTTGTCGGCAATCAATGATTTTCTTACAACTTTTTATCGGACAATGGAAATAATCTATGTTTATCATTCATTATTAATAACTTACCCGCACTAATCATTCTTCAGTCATTATTTGGACATTGACTTTGATAAGGGCTTATGAGATTTTAATAATTCATGGTAATATACTTGACATACAATACTTTAATACATCAATGCTATTCATACAATGTTGACAGATCAATATTGATTTTAAAAACATATAATAATTACAATAATAATACAGTAAGAATATTGCTGCGCTAATAGTCATTATCTGACTCGATTCCAAGGAGAATGCAACAAAAGGGGAAGGCAGTGCAAGGAGAACTCAACACAAGGAAAATCCGCTCAGTCTGCATCGCGTCATCTAGTGCTTGCAGAGAGCAGAGACAGATCTATCAGGACATACAGTGCCGCGTCACAGAGTTTGTGGGGCCCTGGCGCAGACTCTTATTGGGGCCCCTAATAAGTGAGCGAAGCGAGCGTTAAGTTTTCGACGGAGCGAGCAAACAGATGCGGGGACAAGGGGACGCATAGGACCCCCGAACAAAATCTAGGGGCCCCTAGTGGGGGTCCGAGGGGGCTTTCGTGCTCCGAGCTAATGTCATTTAACAGTTTCTTTATGTAAATTATGCCTTAAAGTTATGTAATAGGGATAATACAATCAAACAGTTAATTACCAAATGAATCCATAAAATCATTTGTTTTCCTGTAACACTTGATTGATAATAGACCAACCGCCTTCAACCAGCCAAACCAAACCAAAGTGGTAAACAGCAATCGCAATGATTGCCTTTGTTAAATTCGGTGATAAAAATAAAGATAAAAATTTACAATGGATTAGTGTGGCATTATTTTACCCTGTGAAAATTTTCAATACATATATCATGATGACATTAATAATTGAAATTACCATATTAGCTTTCCATCTTTTTCAAATCACATTTTTTGTGGTTCGTAATTAGTTTTTAAAATTGTAAATATAAGTGTGCATTTTGAATACTGTAAGGCAAACTCGTTTTCTTTTTCTTACCATTAAAAACTTATTAATAGTATAATACACCTTGTTCAATGTTTCTTTTTAATTCCAATAATTATATCTATAGTGGTTTTGGTTTCCCAGATTAGATGATGAATGAAGCAGCAAGTCCATTGAGCAGAACTATCAACAGACCAATTAAACACCTTCTAGTTGGTTGCACAGGGAGTGTTGCATCTATCAAGATCCCACAGTTGGTTACAGAACTGTGCAAGCTCAACCAGGTATATGTACTCACAAACCGCTTTGATGTCATCTTCATTTGACATGCTGGCTACCATCCAAAATTTTGCAAATTTAGGAAGATTATGAAGGAATCTAAAGCATAATATGACACAGTAACTTCGCCTAATCAACCACCTTTGGGAAAATACACCCCACATAAGGTCCAAACATTTATATCCCTGTACAAATACATTTTATAGAGACTCAAGAAATTATGATACTGGATTACAGGCAGAGTGTATTAGTCTTTGATGCAAATGTATCAAAAACAACAATGTACATTGTTCTCATGTTTGCAGATAAAAAATTTGAATTTAAACTCTAGTCTAGTTTGATCTTTGGATAATTTATTGAAGATGGAAGATTTCATAATTATGTTAATCATTGTGATCATGAATAAAGAAACATCATCATCACCGACTACATAATATCATCATGATCATCAGTGGTGTATTGAGGAATTTGAAATAGAGGGGCCCAGGGAGGGACTTTCACAGCTTGCGGGTCTATGCTACGTCAGCCCCACCATGGTTGGGGCTGAAGTAAGAAAATTTATGATTATGGCACTTCCAGATGGCCGGAAATGGCACTTTGAGACTCAAAATTAGTAGAATTTTCTTTTTTTCTCAAATTTTTGAAAAATTTAGGGGGCCCGGGCCGGCTGGGCCCCCTATGAGTCCACCCCTTATCATATTCGTCGTCATCTTCATCACCACCATCATCATCATAATCACCACCACCACCATCTTTATGTCACCATCATTAACATCAAACATACCATTATCATTGCACCATCATCATTACTGTAGCGCAGTGTGCCGATGGTACACTGAACAAAGTGACGTGAGATTTTTTGCTGGTGAAAACAAATCTCTAGCATATTGTCTTATACCGCACCATGAAAACTATAACTCTGGTATATATAATATAAAAAGTAGCCAAAGGCTTAAATCATTGCATTTACCAAAATATATAGGCAAAAATTATAAATTATGAAATTGCACAAAAACATTAAAATACGTATTTATAAATCAAGAAAGAATATTTACAAATAACATAAAAAATTACATTAAAAAAAAATAAATATAAAAATAAAATATAAATAATAATAATTCTCATACTGTAAAACCAACAATATACGGACCCGCAGGCCGATGTGGCATTGGTCCCCCAAGAGCAAGACAGGCGACAGACCGGAGAGGATCAGGTATTGAGCAGCCTGGTAATATATGGGATTGGTGAAATCTGGTACCTTTTGCTACGGCAACGTTGTGAGGTGATGAGTGAATTATGTCTTAACTTTCTGTTGTTAGGATTTGATGGGGGAAGCATATGACGATGTTGTTGTGATTGGAGCAATGATTTACCGAAATTACATGTGTGTGTATATATATACATGTGTGTGTGTGTGTGTATGTATAAGTTTTCGACGGAGCGAGCAAACAGATGCGGGGACAAGGGGACGCATAGGACCCCCGAACAAAATCTAGGGGCCCCTAGTGGGGGTCCGAGGGGGCTTTCGTGCTCCAATTCTTCCATTTCAGGTTGAAATTCAGGTTGTTTGTACAAATTCTGCAACCCACTTTTTTGATCCCTCAAAACTTGAAGTACAAGTATTTCGAGATGAAGATGAATGGATGGTAAGTTAAAAGTTCACATAAACATGTACATTTTAATAGCCATAATTTATTTTAAAATATGTATTAATCATTAAGTGTGCCCTGGTGTTAATTAATGTTTAGGGGCTTTCAGACAGTCTGATGTTATTAATTGTAAATAATAATGATAATTTAATGATCATAATAATAAGTAAGTTTGAATTTGTAACACAAAGTACACAATCTTCTATAGATTTATGTCAGAGTATAACAGTGCACTATAAATTCTGCACATTTTTATTGTATTTGTCTTAATAAAAAAAAATATAACAATTTTTTTTTTACTTAAAGTATGTAGTTCTTGTTAGAAGTGACAGTGTGGCAATTATTCATGAAATTGACAGGCTATCTTTAGAAATACATATTTTGACAAATTTATGATATTTCTGAATTAAATTTACTTGATTCATAAAAATCATATGTCCTTTAGAGTAAAATAAAAAATTCATGCTTCCTCTCTTCATCCTCATGAGAAATGAAGATGGCAAAATAAATCAATCCAGATGTAATAAACAAGATAATATATTTAAATTTAATGAAGTACTGTATACATTATGCTAAAAAACTTCTGCCATCTGCGATCACCTAAAAATCAAATTAGAAAAATATATTTAATAAATCATTAGCTCTCAATTGAAAATTAAAATAATTAAAATGCAAACCATTTAACAGCATAGCATTCCTATGTTCTTTTACATTAGGCCTTTTAAATAATACCTGGTAATCAATTTGAGTATTTTTGTATTAACTGAAAACGACTATAAATCATAGATACCTGAGACAGTTTTCTCGGGTGAAAACTGAATTACAGTATTTTGATCTTTTTTTCATTGGAAGTTAATAACTTATTTGATTCTTTTTAATGAACAGTTCAATTCTGTATTGAATTTTTGAGTTTTTTTTTCTCATATTTTTACAAAATTGATACGGTATATGTTTTAGTATTTTGCATGTTATAAGACTTCAGAAGTCACTAAATTAGCAAAAAAATAACCTAAGGTCTGTTTTACTGAAATTTGAGAACTTACTTTTATTCATTTGGAAACAATAAGACAGCTATTTTCTTGTATAGTAATAAGCAATTAGTAGAGCTGCGCATAGTACACTATAGGAAAATTATTATACGAAGGCTAGATTTAGTGCTTGGAATGCATTAAATCTAACCTAAGTATAATAATTTTCCGCTAGTGTACGATGTATGCGGCTCTACTAATTGCTTTAAAAGTAAATGACTGTCTTTTAATGTCAGTTTGATAATCAGTTGTAGCAGTCATCGATTGCTATAGTGATATGATCAGTATACTGTGTGCGTATGCTCATGGGTGTCGATCGGTGGGGAACAAGGGACACATCTCCTAACTTTTCAAAGTAGGGGGACAATTGATATGATATGATCTACTTTTCACCAATCTTTTATAGTTAAAACCCCACTTTTCAAAGCAAGTGGTCCCCTACTTTTCAAAGTAAAGGGACATCATATCAGTTGTCCTTTCCACTTTTCACCAGTCTTTTATAGTTAAAACCCCACTTTTCAAAGCGAGTGGAAAGAACAAAATCAACGAATGACTCCCATGAATTTTGTCTCTTCACTTGTGCTCTGTTCCAAGTTCGGTGCGTATTTCCGGACCAATACTGAGTACAAATGCAATTTCTTGCATATTTCGTAACCATCTCAGTAACCACTCCATTGATTATATAGGGGCTAAATTTATCATAAAAACAATGTACTTTACGTTGTTAAAATTTGAAACAAAATTGCACAATTTCTACTATAAATGATTTTTTTCTTTTTGTATATTAATAAGACCCGTCGTATATACTAGTGTTCAATATTATCTGCATACATAAATTCCTGTTTTTCCTAATTTTCAAAGAAATAAAGTTCTGTCAATTCAATGTTGTTATATAGCCATTATTAAACAATAATTATACAGCTTGGACACGGATGCCACATGTTTTAGAACTCTGATGTTACTTGACACTATCTCGACATGACATCATGATAATGATAAATTAAGTATTAAATCAACTTTATGTTTGTGAAATAAAAATGGTAACTATGTCTTATGTGCTTCTTATCTCCTTAGTCCTGTTTGATTGTAAGTTAGACGGTAGTATTTCCACTCACAATAATGGAGTCTCAATGCTACTTGCACAAAAGTGAAATTCAAAAAGAGGAGAAAAGGAAAACCTCTTGATTGATTTTAAAAGTACTGTAAAGGTACAAATAGACTATATTATTAGTTTGAATACGTCACAACTAATCAGCACTGTAGATTAAATAAATCATTTTTTTTTATGAATGTTAGTTTGCATGAAATATGTAAAGCAGAATTATGATTACTGGGATAAATTGAAAAAAATTCTATGGTGAGTATTTCAGAGGCAGATCCAAGGTTTCCCAGCCAGCCACCCTTCCTATTTTTAAAAAAATTTGAAAGTGGAAGAAAAAGAAAATTACACATCAGCAGTACAGTATGGACACGATGAATAACTATTGTGTTTGAAGAACTTGTTTGTAATGCTATTTTGATAGACATTCGTCAAAGAAATAAACATTTCTGAAAGCATTTGAGAGAAATAACATTTCAAGCGACACGACTGACTTATAAGTTAGAATAGGCTTGATCTGCTCTTTTTTAAGTATTAATTAACTATATGTACCATATTTTCTCTGTATGAAGCCCCTACCCACCCCTCTCTGCTTTCTTGGAAACGAGGGGGTGGGCCTGATACTTAAAATGTCCTAAAATGTGTAGGTATGGCCAATCATAAGGCATTTCTAAACAATGCATGTCTACAGTGTAATTCAATTTAAATTTCCATTTTCTTCAAAGTAAAGTGGAAACAAAGCAAGACAGAAACAGGGTATAAATATTTCTTAATAGTTTAGAAAATAAGTATTTTTTTTTTAGCTTTTCTTCAAATAATTTAAACAATCATCTCCATTGAGAAATTTAACCAGTAAAATATTTTCCTTATAATTCATATAAAATAGAAGTAAAGTTGAAAAAAAAAAATAAGTGAAGAACAGAAAAAAAAGTTTGAGTTTCAACAAGTGAAATATTTTCCTTATAATTAAAAAAATACTGAAGGAAGAGCAGAAAAATAAGTTTCAATTTCTATAAGTAACATATTTTCCTAATTATTCAAATCATTCAAACTTAAATTTTCCTCCTTTGAATAATTACCTTTTTCCATTTTTTTCACACAAGTGGAAATTCAGTAGAACAATGCAAGAAAGAACACAAGGCATATTTTATTTCTAAATAGTTCAGAAAATAAGCGTAATTTTTATTTATATTATCCTCAAAATAATTAATCAAGTGTTTCATTTGTGAAATTAATAAAATAAAAACCAGAAAGTGAAGAACAGAAATAAGTTATTTTAATAAATATAATCAAAATAGAAGTTAAGTTATTAAGTATCAGAATCATTTCACTTATGAAATTAAAAATAACACAAACACATTGGAACCAATCGAGCATCCAAACAAACAATTTATCAGTTTGAAAAAGATTAAATATAATTAATAAATAAAATGCAAAATGATTAAAAATAAAACTTTTGACAAATTAAATAATACAGTTTCTTTTCTTTTACATAAGTACAATATCATGTAAACAAGTTTAGTCGACAAAATGTTATGAGAGCAGCTTAGCTCAGTCGGCTAATCTGGTGGTAGCCACTGTGTGTGTGCTGAACCGTGGAGATCTCTAGGTCCCCGGTTCAATTCCCATCGCTGCCTCTCCTCATGTTTCAGCTGGAGAGCTGAAATACAAGTTACAATGGCGCACCTTCTTTCGGATGAGACGTTTAGGCCGTTGGTCGCCTATGCATTTATGGCCCATGTGCACGTTAAAGAACAAAGTAGACTCTTCAGAAAAGTGTAGGGGATTGTCTCCCCGTGTACTGCCCAATCACCACTAGAAGGACCCCACTAGAAATAAGTCTTCTAGACTTTTGTGAGCTATCCTTGGTGTTTACACCGAATAATTCCAATCCAATGAAATAAAAAAATTTATTTATTTATTTTTTTTTATTTATTCTGGTATAAAAAGGCTCAAAATACAATTCAAGATTGAAATAAAGAGCTTACAATAGAATCAATAGTGTAAAAATACAGAAATATAAAACCATAAATACAAAGCTTAATAAAAGTTAAAAAACATAGACAAAAATAAAGGCCTAATGTACAGTATCAAAACAAGCAATAACAGTATCAAAACAATCAATATTGTTTTTAAACTAATGCATTTTTAATAAATTCCACTGAAGATAATCAATAAATTACAATTATTTCAGAACAAGAAATACATGAACATCATTCATAAATACAATGGTGAGATCAAAAAATAAATATATTATATCATGAGGTATTATTTTTTTTTTTACTTTCTGATTTGTTGACAGACACAATCCATGGGAGGACCACAGAAGTTTACAGTCCACTCGAGGAAATGTTTTTAATCAGGATAACAATAAAATTTTAAAAAATAAAATTGTTTCAGAAACTCAGGATCCTCAATACCCGCAGTTCACACATTTACATGTTTACCAGTGCCTTTAGATCCGTATCGATTCGAATCAATCGTTTGATTTTGATTTCTATCCTTGGTATAATTAAAGCAAACATTCTACCATCAGTACTCTAGGCATTATAAACAACAAAATTCTTGGTGTCTTTGAGTAAGGTTTGATGGCGGTGGGTAAGGTCTTCACTGGTTGATTGTAAAAGTAATAGGGATGATTTTCTACATGAAATTTTGAAGGCCATTACTTGAACTTCAGACTACCAAAATATCATAAAAGGTTAGTTATTTACCTCAAGCGTATCAAATGTGCTGAAGCGCAATAAACGATGATCCACCAGAATGACTTTTTGACATATCTTAAATCTCTGTCTAATTATTAATAGTAAACTTAAAGGTTTGTGGTTGCACAAGTATAAATGGAAGATATGAGTAACTGATGAGTTTATCTTTAACCATTTTAGCGGCGTCTTTCATTGCTAAATGAGCTCATGTTCACTCAGTTATGACTGATCACAATGTCATATTTGACACATTCCTCAGTGTTCACATTATTTTTGACATGCATGAGAACAGGTTTGAATGTTTATGTGTCAGGTGTGTGTTTGAACACAATACCTTATGCGTTACAACCTTAATTTCAAATATTGAGTGTGTGTTAAAAATCCTAGAATAATGTGGTCAGAGTTGTTATAATTACCCATCAATGTGAGAAATATTCTTGGACATATAAATGTTTCCAAATGATAGTGAGAGCTGTGTACAATACAAACATAATATATCATCTTGATGGTATGCTTAATTCCCCCTCACTAACTTTCCCACTCACAAACCTTTCATTTGCCACCACAAATTTTCCCTATCACACACACTGTCTTTTTTGCAAACTGATCCCTTATAAATTCTCCATTAATTAAAATCTCAACTTTTTCCATATTGATACAAGTTGGCAAGGCTAGTTGCTCAAATGAAAAATTTACTGATGAATTATAAACTTCTGTTGTGTTGTTTGTTATAGTAGGCCTATGAGTAATTGTCCTGGCATTTACATGATTTGGACTACTGAATAGTCCAAGTCTCTTGTTTAGGAGAGTTTTGTAATCATTGGCGTGACATGTTTTAGGACAGTAAAGGATGGGACAGGGCAGGACAGGATACAACACTTTCCATTTATGTGTCTTAGTCCTGCAAAGCGCATAAAGCAAAGGTTTGCCTGAATGACATAAATTGCTACAATTAACATTTTCTTATATGTTTCAGTCTATACCATGAAATACAGAGGCAATCTTTTCCCTTAACCTATAAAATTTATACAAGTTGCTGTAACATAAACATACACCGAAATCCACCAGACTTCACAATTTTTGGTTCTATATTGTATGGGTTTAACTCTCAACAGCATCATGAAGCCCAAGTTTTAGTAGTGCCTTTTTTTGTGTAATTTTATATATTTTTTTATTTAGTTTCATATTTTCAAATGTCATTTTTTATTATATCTATGAGGAAAGCCAAATTCTCTTTCCTACAGACATATCTAGTTTTGTTCTATTATTTTCTTAATTTACTATATAAGTATGATATTATTTCATCAACGAATCCCTTGATTCAGATTTTCTTTGATGTTCCATGTACTATATTGTAAAGGATTCAGTTATTGCCATGTTATTGTCAACAAAATTGAATAATGATAGTATTAAAATATAGATAACATGCAATAGATATGATTGCTTTTTTTAACCTTTTCTTTTTCAACATACATTCCATTCGAAGAGGCGTCCGTCTTTAAAATTGACTGGTGAAAATTAATTAGCAGCGTACTGTATATTTGACTCAAATTTAAATAAAAACCAGGTCAAAATCACAGGCATGCTTTCAATTTAAAATCTAACCATAAAAATGTTTTAGAAAAATTGTTTGTTTTACGGTGCTGCACAGCAAACCTAATTTGAATATTATTTACTATGACTTTCAAGCTGCAACATATAAGCCTTTCTAACTTATCTATAGCTACAGTATGTGAGCATTTCAGTCAGATGTATGAGAGAAAGTGCCTGGGGGTTAATTCTGCATGTCACTCTATAGGCCTTTGTGGTCAATGAATATGACATTTGCCCTGATAGCGAGAGGTTCGAATCCCGCCAGATACAATTATAACATCTTGTTCCTATTTGAGCACCGATATTATTGTTCATCCATTTGCTTATATTGTGTTTACAGTGATTTGCAGCAAACCTAATTTGAATATTATATATTTAAATTTTTAAAAATTGTTTTTACTGTTTAATAATAATAATGTAATTATGCATGTATGAATCCTTTTTTCAGACATGGTCAAAGATTTCCGACCCAGTTTTGCATATTGAACTGAGGAAATGGGCTGATTTGATGATTATTGCCCCTCTTGATGCCAACACACTAGCGAAGCTTTCACAGGGGTTGTGTGATAATCTTCTTGTAAGTTTTTAACATTTTAAACTAAAAAATTAAAAATTTTACTTTCACATGAAACAAAATAATTCAATAGGCTTGCGATAAAAAAAAAAGCAATTGAAAAAAATTGCCAAAATATTTTTAACTGTTTTTTGGAAATAATAATACTGTAATTTCTCAATCAGTGACTAGCATATAATGTGTCAAAAGATTAGCCCTGCTACAGGTAGCCTTCTAACCATTTTTTCAACAGCATATAACCATGGCAACATGACCTTTTCATGGCGTTTTCTCTAGGTAGTGTTGAATGATGACATTAATATGAATTATAGTGTTATTACAGTAAATACAGAAACAAGTTAATTACAAAAACTGTAATGTAATGTGTAATGTACTGTTGTATCAAATGTGGAAAGGATTGGAGCAAAAAAGAAATTGCGTTCACCAATTGATTTTGTAGTTCAGCTCCATTTCCCAAGCCCTATAACGATCCTTTGTAGAGTAGGATCCCCAATGATCACCTATGCTGGATAGATTGTGTTTATCAAATGGGGTCAAACTCACTATTCATACAATTCATTACATCCCAGGTTCGTTAGTCATAATTATAGCCAGTGGCGGCTCTAGGATATATTTTCTGGGGGGGCTAAGTTGTCCGACAGGGGGACTTGAGCTCGTAGGCTTGAGCTGGAGGAAGGGGTTGAGAGGGGGTACCCCTCCCAAATGAGATTTTTTTTAAAGAATATCAACTTCTGGATGGCCGAAAATGGCACTCTCAGACTGTGACAAACATGTGTTGGCTTGATGTGGGCCTATTTTTATATGTTTTATGGTCTGACTGCCCGACGAGCTCTGTCCGGCGGGGGCTTGACCTGTCCGGTGGCGGTGGGGGGCTTAAGCCCCCCTGCCACCCCGCTGGCGCCGCCAATGATTATAGCGTACCATATACCAGAGGGTCGCTAGTCATAGTCACGAAAGTTTTGGTAGTCATTGAGAAGAAATGCTGGTCATAACAATAGCATCACTAGTTATAGTCAAGATAAAGGTTCACTAGTCATTAAAAAGTCAAATTCAAGGAAAAGGGTTTGCTAGTCATTGTATATGCAGTAATCAAGAAAAAGCTCGCTAATCACAATAAAGCACTGTTTTCCAGTCATAATGAGAAAGGAGATATGGTAGTCATCATAAACATTTTTTATTGTGACTAGTTATTTTATATTAATCTAAAAATCTTATGACTAATGTTCTTGTATTTTATTACTGTATTATGACTATACTTTTTTCTTTATTAATCCTAGCAAACCATTTAAGAAAACTATTACACAGTACTGTATGTTTTTTATATCATGATCAGTGAAGGTCATGATCTCTACGAATAGCAATCATTTTTTTTTAATTATTCCTAGAGAACCATTTGAATACTGTAATACCCCTTATGAAAGAAGACTTGTACATAGAAAACCTTATGAACAGCAGGTGATCCATATTCAGTATCCATTGTAAAAATAAGATTCAAAAGCTCGGCATTGATTACATTTACTTGCATATTACAATAAAAATGTATTATTTATAATCATAAAATATGAAGTAGGCCTATGTTTTTTTTTTATATATTTCTTTATTCTATATATTTCTTTATTCTTATTTCCATTGTGTATTTTAATAACTATAATTATGATAACAATGAATACCACATCTCTAATGATAGTACAGTATTGTAAAAAATAATGGTGGTGTATTTCGTTTCAGACATGTATTGTTAGGGCATGGGATATGGGAAAACCCTTGCTCTTTTGCCCCGCTATGAACACACACATGTGGCAACACCCTGTAACCAATACCCATATTGAAACACTAAAAAGCTGGGGGTACACAGAGATACCCTGCATTGAAAAACACTTGGCATGTGGTGACACAGGTAGGATGAACAAATTGTTCCAATTGTATATATATTCTCAACCCATCACAGAAAGACATGTAGTGACTGTAAATGAATGCATTATAAATTATTCATAAATAAAAATGAGACTTTATAGGAAGTTTGTGGTATAATGGTATTTTGCTTTAGGCACCAATTGTAGGGTTAGGAGTTTGATACATAAATGGGTCGGAAAGGAATGCGTTCATCGAATATATAAACAGGTATATTGTACTGAAAGCATGGAAAACAATAGGAAAATGTTCATGAGCAAATAGAGGTTTGATAAAGTGCCCTTCTTTCTATCACAAGTTCATGTGCTCAATCCTGGCATACAGGCCAAGACTCCGGGCCTGTAATCACGGGATTTCTATACACTGGCTGAGTCCCCTTTTTCAAGTGAACCTCCTGGTAAATCAAACCACTGCCTCCCTCTGATGACCCAAATCACCTGTTCTCTTGCAACATAAACCATCCAAATTATGATGATATTCATGGGTAATCCCAGGGGTTCCAACTGACTTTTAATGTTTCAACATTTTATTAAGTATGGTATTACAGTATTTAATATTACCTTTGGATGATATTAAAATTGCTTCATAAATTTTACATTAACATTTAGAAATAGAGACAGTTAAATGTCACACTCTATCCTTAAATGTGTTACATAGTAAAATTTCAAGAGAGCTATCTAATACTTTTTTTTGGACTATTATTAATCATGTTTCCTTTATATTTATCATTTCAGGGTTTGGTGCAATGGCAGAGATACATAGCATAGTGCAAGCAACAAAAGATATTTTGAGTTCCTTGTCCTAGCATACATTCATTAGTACTGTATATAAGTTATTAAAAATATTATTTCATATGAAATATATGATTTTTTTTTTAAAGTCTGCAATGTTATGTAAATATTGAATTTAAATTATTGAATTAAAGGATTATTTCACTTGCACAAGGCTTTAATATTTTATTGCATTTCAAAATTAAAGTGCATCTGTTGTGTTGGTTCTCAGTCCTGGCGGGTCCTCACCAGTTTAGAGCTCTGTGCACAATATCTAGATTTGTGTTCCAAATAAGGGCATGAAGACGTCATATCAATTCCAAATAAGGGCATGAAGATGTCATATCAATTCCAAATAAGGGCATGAAGATGTCATATCAATTCCAAATAAGGGCATATCACATCCAAATATGGAACAGTCAGAGGTATTTCACATAAAACTTAATAGTGCAGGCAGACCTTAAGAGTACTGCTTAGGTCTCTTAAATTCTGTCTACTTTTTAAAGTTGGATTATTTGGTCAATTGATTGATTGATTCTTATGTCCAATGTGGTCTTTATTTAAGTAACTGAAACAAAAATCTGTCACCATTTGAGAAAATTAGAAACTATTGTAAAATCATCTTAAAATTAAACTTCAAAAGAACTAAAATTGCATAAAATAAAAATTTTGGAAAAACAGTTGGGATTTTTAGGATTAAATCATGCCGTGTGAATTAAAGTAGGTGTGTAGGTGTTGGGCTTATAAACCTATCTACAGTACATTCAATTCAGGCTGTAACCAGAAATCCTTGAGTGGGCGTTCCTATGAAAGCCAAAAGATCCAAGGGTATGTTCTAATCGCCAATTAACAAGCCTGGCAACGAATATTAAATGAAACTGAATTGTCTCGTGTCATATTTGACATTGATATGACAAGAGTAGGCCAATATACTTTAATTGGTGGTGTTGGAATTTTCTTGTTAAAAGAATATTCAAGGAATGTTCTTAAAAAAACACTCCCACACATTTGTAGCTGTTGGCAATTGGTTTGCTACATTGGCATTTCCTAATGAGAGAGGGGTGATAAGAAAAAAAAATTACATGTGGAAACGTATTAACCATTTTAACTTATGTAATTTTTTTCGGAGGATTATTGCCACTGAAAAAAATACTAAAAATTACCATTAGGTTTTCATTGAAATAGGCATTTCCACACCACCCCCCCCCCCCCTCATGATGCACTTGCCTGTATAAGTGGGTTGTTACTGGTAGAGTTAGAGTTGTTACTACAACATTTAGGAATGCTCCCCATTGGTTTACTTTAAACAATATGTCCCGTGGAAATATTAAACGACACAAGGGGTACAAGTTAAAACTGTAAGTTATAGTAACAGCCCATTGCCTATGACAACTCTCCTAAATAATTAACATCTAGTGTTCTCCCTGGGATCAGCCAGTCTCTCTACTCTACTGTACTTCGAATGAATATATACCTGAAATAATATTCATACAGGTGTTCAATCAAATGACCAGTGTTATAATAAAGGCATTTATCAGGGGGTCGTGGATCCAAATACTGATGATAACAATACCTTTTTCTCAGACTCCTTTACTGTTAAGTTAATATGGTATGTAGTAATATACGGTAGTGTATATTGTATAGTGCAGTTTTTGTGTTATTTCCTTCTAGTAAAAGTACATCATATGGCTTGCTTTGACAAGATATGAAATTTGAATCTGACATTAATAAGACAATTTTCATGGATGATCAGAGGCAATTTAGATCCAAGAAGTCCCAAAATGACATATGGTATGATATATTGACCGATAATGATGAGTCTCATTTTGGTGATGATGTGTCTATTGCAAATTATCATTAGTCCATATTGTTAGCAAATTATTGCTGATTCGATTGTGATGGTAAGGAAGGCTACTGAATTTCCAACTTTATTTTTGTGGTACTAAATAAGGGCTTAATATAATCCCTAGTTGTGGAAAAAAAACTTAGTTTAGTTTAGTAGGAATATAAGAGCATTTTTTAAATTTTTTTTTTCTGCACATCCAACAGCAAGTGCACTTGCCACTTAACAGGATGGAGCAATGCTGTCTTATTGAGGCCTAGGGAGTGAACGAAGGCAAGCATCTCAACCACTAACCTATTTAACTCCACTCCATATTAGGCTTATTACCTAAACATTAAATATTTATTTAGGTAAAACAATGGATAGTGCTCATATAATATGGTGTTATTCCAGTATAGCTTATCATATAAAAATATTTCTGCTAACAGGAGTGGAATTTGCAACTTCTGGAATGAAAATGAATGAATGAAATAAAAAGACTAATGTACTATGTGATTAATATTATGTGAGATAACAAATCACACTTATAACCAACTATTATTGGTGGTAGACCATAATGTATTCTGATTGATGTTTAATTTGTTTACAATCCTGACATTTTGAATGAAATTGAAATTTTCACCTCTTTTACAATTTTGTAATAGCCAAATAATGTATTTTATCAATGTCAATGAATGTAAAAGATAAAATTATCAATAGCGATTCTACAAAATTTCTAAAATGGTTCATTACATCACCAATTTTGAATTGGGGGTGGGGGTTTCATTTCATAAAAATGGCACACTTTTTGTTATTATAATATTATATTTACAGTAAAATCAGTAAAATACTTCATTAAATATTGCACTATCTTAGGTCCCATAGATCATTCAGAGGGAATAAGAGATGTGCCCACCTTGTTCTAATTTGGACAATTAAAACTTCATAATATCCGATTGTAAGCCTGACAGATTTCAAAATAAGGACCTATTCTCTTGTGTCTCTGGGGTTTTTTTTTTATCCTTGATCTCCTGAATTTTCATCATCATTTGTCCCCAACAAATTTTAGAATTCCTTCACGAGTACAAGAGGAAGAAATGCAATTACATCACATTTTATCTAAAACCAGGTCGTGTTTAAATAACAAATTACGATTTGGACTAATTTCTAATGAGGATGCTGACATTTTAATTCACCATTTATAACATCTTAGATTGATGGGGCTACTGACGATAACTTTTTTTTTGTCCTAACCCACATTGACATGACAATCTGGCATGATTCAAATCAACATTGAGTGAGTCTTCATTAAAAGACCTAATCAAGTCTGTTGTAGCGGCTTTTTATACATTTAGTTCTTTGGCATAGTAAAAAAAATCTCAGACAGATGACAGAAATTTGAAGTGAAGTGGTTTATAAACCTGTCTTGCTTAAAATACATGATAAGGATTCTGATTGCTAATGTACCTATACCTGGCAAAGTCAATTCTGATAAAGTTATAATTGATGATACAATTCCTGTTTTCGTAGAATTTATAGTAACTCATGAATTTTATATTTTCAAAGTATGTCTAATAATAACTATAATATTTCTATAAACTGTACAGTATTTATATAATGTCATTTCCAAATAAATGATCAAAGGGGCTCGAACATTATTATCCCTGGTCACTGGATAATATACTGTACAATGGCAAACTACCTGAAAGTGCAACATTCTCTGCACCCTGGAGAGAATACTTAGTCATGCGAATTTACTCAGCGCACGAAACTACAGTAGTACAATAAATGCCAAATCCTACCAGATACCCCTGAATATAGAGATGAACATAGAAAAAGTGTCTTTCCAAGGACATAAACGACATGCGCAGCACAAACCCCTGACCTCAAGCAAGTCCAAGCGACAACCAATGTGCCAATGGCTTCTATTTTTACATAAATGAAACCAGGGGTGGATTCAGAATATTCCAAAGGGCGGCAGGTCACCAACTCATCAGAATATGTACAAGTGTTGAATGCTTACAGCAATGGCGTAACAAAGGGGTCGAAGCCTTATTCAAACATTTTGTATTCTGTTTTGTTTTATTATTTAAAACATGGCATATGGTATGTAATGAAATTTTAAAATGTGACAACATTTCTCTTTACCCCCACTCTCCATTGGATACTCCCCTGAAAACATGATTGATAACACAAAATACACACATAAGCTATAAGCTTTATGGTCCAGTTGGTACTTTACTTGGAACTTGAGCAAGCTAAATGACTTAGTGATGCAGTGCTAACTAACAAAGCTGGGAGGGGAGAGTGTACATCACCAAATCTTTTCTAGTGAAAGGCTATGTTAGCAATTGACAGCTTAGACTGGCTACAGCTAGACATAATTTACTTCATTAGTCATTGCCTGAAGAGCAAGTGGCTGGAAATGTAATGTCCTAAATGACCAGAATTACAATGAACATGATTGGGTTGTTGTTATGTCACATCAGTGATGCCTAATAAATATTCTTAATATTCACGTAAACTCTTTTCATATGTTTAGCCTGTGATTACTTCCAGTTATAATTCATTGCTTGTGTACAGGTGTCTGATGTAAACTGCATGCTCTGTAAACTGAATTTAACAATGAATACAACTGGCTAGTTGTTACCTATGCCTGATGAATATTCACATCACATCTTTTCATATGTTAATTTGTGGCCACATGAACACTCCTTGCTGTACATGTCATTCTCTTCATCTACACAAAATTCTTCACCGTAACTATGACAATGTTCAGACAGATCCCTTGTCCAAAGACTTGTCCGCACCTCTTTCCTGAGATCTAAATGAGAGGAAAATCATTCTAATAACAATAATAGCACTTAGCCATTCCAAGGATTGGAATAAATGGCAACCAAGTAGAATAAAATTCAGGTTGGTAGACAAGAATTTAGTTGAAAACGATGTCCACCAGAGAAGTAAATATCAACCATGAAATATCCTTATCTAACCATAACAGTCTAAAACCAAAAAAAATAATTAAAAACCCCTAACTTTAAACAAATTTGTTTAATGAAAATCATTACCCTTAAGACAATTATAGAAATCTATTTTAAATTTTGATGACAATCTCAACAATGCAACAGTTCCAACATGTTGTACCGCACACTATTATTTTCATTATCACTATTTTCATTTTTAATTATTAATACAGTAGTACTTTTTGCTAAGTTGCAGAACATTTCATTAAATGTTAAAGGAGAAAGAATGATAAATACTACAAAACTAATTTCTGTAATGTCATTACTTTAATTATCATTAACATTTAAAGTAATTAGAGAAAATTACCTTTTATCTTTTTGTTAAATTTTTTTTGTTTTGCCTTTTCTTTATTTTCTGTTCGTTTTTCTTTTTCCTCCTCAATCTCCTCAAGGCTGTTCCATATTGATAAAGCTTTTTTTTCCACCTGGAATTTAAACAAATGTATTAAACTTATTGTAAGATTGTATATACAAATATTAATGTAATAAATTATAAACAAATCTTATATGTATTATATGCTTGTTAAAACTTGCCTGCAGTTTCAGGTACAATTTCATATCACCCCATTTTGAATTGTGGGGATTTTTTCTTAATATAAATTTTAATATTGGTTCCCGCTTGTCTAAATCAACATCCTTAATGAGGTAGAGATTTTTGGCATCTGTTTTGGTAATAAGTTGATGTTTATCATCGTTATCTCTGAAAATATAAAAAAATGACAATGTTAATTACTGTACAACAATTAATCCCTAAAATTGTTGATATTTAATATTAATAATTCTTTATTAATATTAAATATCCTGGGGACCTGTGGCAGGTCTAGAATACATTTTCTGGGGGGAGGGGACTAAGCTGTCCGACAGGTTCTGCCCCTGCTAGTGCTGCCACTGCCCATGGCAGCCACAGAGCAGCACCACACTACTGAACTGCAACATATAACAGATACAAACATTGTCCAGCCTAACTCTCAATATGGGGGTTATTCGAGAAGCTTATTTTCTTTCTTATTGCTTAAAAATATATATAAAGAAATAAGTTTACAGTTTTATGCCCATCTATCACAAATAAGAAAATTTGTCTAGTCTTCTGGTTTGTTTTTTTTTGTTTTTTTTTTTTGCAAATCAAATGCGTTTATATATTTACCTGCATTCATCACAAACTTGGTGGTCAAAGTTTTTAACAAGGTAGGAATTCTGGAAGCCCTGCTGACATTCAATGCAGGTATATGGATCATCTGATGATAAATCAGGTGCTGGAAAATAAACAAGCAAACATTACATTGAAACTGGTACTTCTTGATATACGTAAAATATTTCTTGCCCACTATAAACAAGATACCAGATACAAGAACTACTACAAAAACAAGAAATATTTCTAACAAATAAAAGCATGTTGTACAGCATTTTGATTTAGAAATCGTAAGTAAAAAGTGTAATTCAATTAACCTTAATGCTAACAAAAGAAAGATGTAAAACTCTTGTTTTAAATGGGTTAAAATCAAGTAAAAATTGCTGGTAAAAACTAATTTTCGAACACTAGAGTTAAATATGTGTATGGAATGTGGCACGACATTGTCTATGATGACAAGTGTACCCTGTGAGCAGTCTAAATCTAGATCTATAAAATCCTGACAGCTATGCAGAGGACAAATAATTATGTTAATGTTAGAGTATGTAAACCAAATTGTTTAACAACTTGTTAAAGCTCATATCTTCCACCAAAAATTGAAGGTGCATGTGGTGTTGAAGAATTGATCACCTTACTCAGATGGTAAAGTATTTCTAAAGATTCTAGATTGTAGATAATTTGCAATAATTTTACCTGGTTCCTCAACAATCTTAATAGCTTTTTTCTCAGTTTCCTCATCTAGGTCTTCTTCGAGGAGAAAACCAGCTCCTGTGTCAATGAAACGCTTCCCCTGGATCAATCCTCCTCCTCCTCCTGATAATCCAGCGGCACTTATCCTGATAAAATAAATATTGTTATAAGGAACATTAACAATACAGGTAGATACTAGTCTGTAAGTATAGAAATATGGCAGCATTTTGGCTAAGTGTACTCACAGTTATATAATGCTACACGCACAGTGACAGGCAACTAATTACAACACATTCAGTAATAATATCCATGGTTTGCCTATCTTTAAGGTTAAGGTTGGAGTAAGACTCCATACGTCTGTCATCGTGACTTGGTTGCTTTTGGAGCCCCAAGGCACTTGTCTGAATAAATAAATGAAATGAAGCCATACACATCTTAACATTTCATAAGAGGAATCAAGTGAGCCTGCTGATCATTTGTACTCCTACTGTAATAATTAATGTTTTTAGTTGTTAAATTTTAGAAATTAGATAAAGCACAAGTGGATCATTACATCTCAACATGCAGTCATTTTAAAGCTGAAGTAATGGTACAGTATGGTTATGACCACCCACTGTTTATTTAACATCCAGTGGCAATTTCAAGAGAAGGGAAAGCTGCTCAGGCACCCCTACCCCTCAATTTTTCAAAATAAAAAAATGGAGATAAAAAGAAAATTATATTTAAATTTTAAGTCTGAGTATGCAATTTCCAGCCATTTAGAGGCAGCCATAATCCTAAATTTTCTTACCTCAGTCCAACCATGGTGGCCGGGCTAAGGCGGTACCCCCCATCTGTGAAAGTCCCTCCCTGGACCCCTCTTTTCTATTTAAAAATCCTGGATCCACCACTGATACCGTCAATCCATAACATATGCAGTCACTGTCCTTATGACCTCTTTTATATTTTAAATTGAGATATGCTGCATGTGCTTTCAATATTTAACCTGGAAAAGCAACAATGGTTGTGTCTCAAGAAAATATAAATGTTGACTTTTTGAATATTTGCAACTAAAATCAAGTGAATATGCACAGTAAAGTAAAAAAAAAATTGATGAATTTACGTTTTCTCAGCTTTCTGTTTTGAATATGGTCTTGCCTTCAATCTTGCATTACGGAGCATTAATGCACGCTGTCTGTTTCGTTCAACCTTGGCTCTTTGTTTATCTGATAGCTGCTTTGGCCCATCTGCTAGCATGTGTGATCCCCCATTTTGAGGTTCAACTTCATCTGCATTTGACTCCATTGCAAGAAAATACTTAAAACAGAATAATTTATAAACATTAACTCAGAATTGGTTGAAGTGCACAATCATTAATCATCAAAAAAAAAAAAAAAAGACAAAAGTCACAAAATGCTGTGTAAACAAATAGGGGTTCTGAAAGCTAATATCCGCTACTTCTTCTTCTTCTTAACGTGATCTGTCTTTCAACATTACGCTTTCTACAATTTGTTTCCATTTGTTTATGTTTAAGATTTGTTTGTAATAGGCCTAGAGATATATTAGGAATAAAGTTTTAATTTGTCATATATTTTTAGTATTTGTTCTATAAATGTCCCTATACCACATTTCCAGAAAAATAAAATATTTAAAAAAAAATCATAGAAAACTAACTAGTCTAGTACCACGATTTCAATCAAATAAACATTGTTTTAATGTTGTAGAATCTTTGACATAAGTTTCTCATTAATTCAAACAAGATGATTTTTTTTTCTTAACATACCTAAATAAGCAATTAGTAGAGCTCCGCATAGTACACTATAGGAAAATTATTATACGAAGGTTAGATTTAATGCTTGAAAAAATTTTGAATGCATTAAATCTAACCTAAGTATAATAATTTTCCATTTAGTGTACGATACATGCTCTCTAATTGATTTGTAAGTCAATCGCCATCTTTCAATGTTAGTTTTTATAACCAACTGTGTTGTACAAGTCATCGGTTGCTATAGTGATATAATCAGTATACTGTGTGCGTATTTATATTTTGTGCGTATGCTGATTTGTGCTCCTGAAGTAGGCAGAGCCTACGCGTTAAGTACTCATCTGATACGATGAAATAGGCCTACTGTACGCTATTTTGTAATTTATTTGTGTTAGAACTTGTTTGTAAATTTCCTCATTCCTCAAAGAAATAAACATTTTTCAAAGCATTCAAGAGAGAATACAGTCACTGTCACTAACTTTTTGGTCGGTGCAGACAGGTAAAATTCTTGGGAAGAAGCCTCGGCGGCTCTACAGGTACATCTAATTTCGTTCTCTGAGTCTTCAAAATAGGTCTAGAATATTCTTATATGTTGCGTATGCTGATTTTTGCTCCTGCAGTACGCAGTAATTAACTACACATCAGCAGTACAGTACAGATACGATGAATAACTATTGTGTTAGAAAGAACTTGTTTGTAATGCTATTTTGATAGACTTTCATCAAAGAAATAAACATTTCAGCATTCGAGAGAGAATACAGTCACTGACGTCCTTTTTGGTCGGAGCATGCAGACAGTTAAAATCGTGCGATGATTACGTAACTAGGCTAGGGTACGGCCTAGTAGTAGTAGGAGGAGGCCCTGGCGGCCACCTGCCTGGCCGTAGGCCTACATCTAAATTTTTTCCTTGAGTCTTTAAAATAGGTCTAGAATATTCCTATTAAACGTTCAGTCTGTTGTGTTTATGAGGGTCCATTTATTCACTAAATTCCTTAATTGTTCATACTTAATATTGAATTTGAAGAAACTTTCTTTGGGTTCTAATTAAGCTTGTTTTACGTAAGTAATTTTCAGTTACAATTCAATTCATATTGTGGAGCGATGTATTCGCGGTGACGAAAAAATGAGGAATTTTTTTTTTGCACATGAACCTAAAAAAAATCAAGCCAAGCGTCCACTAATCAAAAAATTAGTGGACGCCGGGGAATAGGCAAATAACATTGGGAGTTACAGTGATGATGTCACGATTGACTTATATAATATAAATTATAATATTAAAAGGGCCTGTTTCAACGTCTATCTCTAAATATACAACCAATGTATTATTGTCTATTCAATTCAACAGTAGTTATGATTCTGCGCAGCTAGCCTATTTCCCTAGGCCTAGGAAAATAGGCCAGCTGCCCTAGATAGGGGTAGGCCTAGAGAGAGGACCACCTAGAACTAGGCCTAGCTAGAGAGACTCTGAGAGGTAGGCTTAAGACCCTAGCCCTAGGCCTCTAGTACGATTCACGCACAATTACAAAGTAATTGTGAACAAATTTATGTTCGGTTTCACAATAGTAGCACGGTAGCAAAAATACAAGTTTAAGAAGACTCAAGAATCTACCTTTCCCTTGCTTTGTTTACGGAAATTCTCAAAAATAGTTTTTTATCGACAGAGGGCGATATATTGCCAATAAGAGCGTATAAACGATAGAAAAAGCAGCTTTTTGCCACTGCGGCAGTGCCGATAGAAAACAGCAGCTTTTTTTGGCACTGCGGCAGTGCCAAATCGGCACTGCGGCAGTGCCGATAGCCAGCCAGCCAGGCGGCGCTATACGATCTTTGGTAGGAGGACTGGGACCAGACCTAGCCTTATTATTTTATTTCATTTAATCACAACATTTTTGCAATATGTCGGTAAATTATGCTGATGGACTGTCACCTTATGATAATAAAGGAAAATGTGGCATGCCAGAGGTGATTTTTATTATTCTTAGCATAAAATATGTTTGTTTTAGTTGTTAACTGCGCTAGCGGCTAGGCTAGGCTGGGGGAATCCTAGGCCTAGGGCTAGCCTTCTTTTGATAACAGATCCCGCCTTGTTAGCTGGATTGGTTGGAGGAGGCCTCACTCAAGGCCTAGCCTAAGCTTTGCCGTGTAGTACAGTAGCATGATCAATAATCTACAAGCCTAGCAGTGAGTGGCACTGTCACTGGTTGTGTAAGGGGTTAAATTATAAATGCGTAATTCGTATTTCGTTTATTATTCAGTGGGGCCTATTATTAATTTTAAGGGTAAGGCATTGATTTTGATAAAATAAGTTGTAAAAAATTAAAAAGGTTACTAAGTATAAAACATGTAAAATTATTATAAATATTATTTATAGTTGTTTATTTAGTCAAATATAACATTACGTCCTGTTACAAATAAACAATACAAAAATACAAAAAAACATGTAAGGCCAAGTAAAAAAAAAAACATGTTTCGCGTCCCCGCCCGCATCGTTTTTTTCGCCCGCCTTGATTTTTTTAGATTTTTTATTTTTGGAAAATTCATGAAAATAAAGAAAAAATATATCGAAAATTTAGAATTAAATGTTGGAAAATAAATACCCTAGCCTAAAATAGTGCAATATCTTCGTCTAACCTTTCGTATAGTAAAGCTATGCCTAGGCTAGCCCAATATCTCTACCTAGGCTAGCCCGATATCTCTAGGCTAGGCCTAGGCCGTCGCCTACTCTGGGCGTCAGGCTGCAAAACTCGAGTTCACTTCACTAGAGCGCGTTTGTCATGCATACAATTGCCGTATTCGATTGGGACTATACGTTGAGTATGTTATCCCGTTGAGTACAAAACTCAACGATAAATTCCGAGCGTTAACGTCGTTGAGCAGTTTCCGTTGAGCAGAGCACGAAAGTCCCAATTGAATACGGCCGATGATTTTCGATGAATTCTGGAATTTCCCGTTATACTGGCCCTCTATGTCAGATTGTATGGAATAGTTTCATGTGAAGACGTCTGAGACGTAACATCGGGAACATTCCGATTGTATACAGTAACAATGATTCCTAAATGCGACTGGTAAACCGAGGCTATGTCTTTCATGGAACTAAATTTAAACTTTCAAATACAAAGAGCAATAATATATATACCTTGTTATTTATTTTTTTTGTTATTTCCTATTTGCACATTTTTTAAAATGGACATTCATTTCATTGGAGATGAAATAACTAAACATTCTTTTTTTTTTCTCTACATGCCATACCAATTTAAGAGTTAATTACAATACTATAATACTAAATTTTATTACTAGACTCTAATTCTGCTGAACTATTTAGTTGTTTTAATAAATTTCATAAACAATTTATAAGTAAACAAGTGATAGACATGCAGAGCCAGTGTGTGCAATTATATCTATATAATATATATAGTAGTATATATATATAGTATACATCGGATAAAAGATACAGACTTTAAATTTGATATTTATTTAATTATATTAATTAAAGTAGGTAGTTAATAAAGGAAGTATATATAAATAGGTAATCATATTATTATTACATATTGTTTAAGGTTCACATGGTGAGGTAATAATGTGTTAAATGTTTGCAGTACCCACAGATAATTCTGTAAAGAACTTTTTTTTTTGTTGAGAATACAATATGTATATGCATATAAAATAATTAGATATAAATATTAGTAATGTACTGTCTGTACTAAAGTATACTACTGATGCGTATCAACAGGAGCAACAGAATAAAATTAAAAAGTTTAACTAGATCTCACAGAAAGGGACTTTTTCCAACTTGGGACCCTGATTGTAAATCATATTCATAAAGATTAACATAGCTTTTGTCATTTAGTTAAAGGCTTTGCTTAATTATGAATTGTCAATCCATTTAAAATGTTAATACCTGTAATATGTGTACTTTATCTAATAGGTTTTTGATAACCTTAAAAAATTAGAGCACAGTGTAAAGCAACTGGCAGATTGGATTTCCAGTAGTCAGCATGTTGTGGTCCACACAGGAGCAGGTATCAGCACAGCTGCTGGAATTCCTGACTTCAGGTACACTTTGAGAATGATGATCATGTGATGAGGTTGATGATAATAATAAAAAATATAATAATAATAATAATAATAATTATTATTATTATTATTATTTTATTATTAGTATCACACATTGGAATAATAATAATAATAATTATTATTAGGCCTATTATTTTATTATTGGTATCACACATTGGAATAATAATAATAATAATTATTATTATTATACTTTGATTATTATTATTAAACTCATAGTAAAAGTTTGATAAAGAAAATTCAATTTCAAATCTAGATGAAAAGGCACAAACGGCAGTTATGATTATAATAATAATTAAAAAATAACATTCTACCCCTAAAATCGCCTTTGTGTCTGTGCCACTCAGTAACCAGTGCCAGCACATTTTGTGCTGTAGACTGCCTGGACCAGTGCACAAGAATATTATACTGCCTACTTGTCTCAAAAGATTTAATAGGTTCTTTGAAGTACACAGGAAAACTGGTGTGACCACAAAAATGATTTATGAGCTTGCCACTTCAGCGCCGATACCATGGGTGTAGGTTACAGCACCCATGCCTTATCTGCTAATTCATGATGACATTTACTTAATGGGGACTTGGTTGACATTGCATTATGTATCATGTATTAAATTTATTAAATACAGTAGATAGATAAACATATATAAATGAGATATATTTGAATAATCATTTCAGATATGACTAATGCATTTTTTACCTAGGGGGCCAAGGGGTGTTTGGACTTTGGAGAAACAGGGTAAGAAACCTGAGACCAATACTACATTTGATGGCGCAAGGCCAACACTGACACATCTGGCACTGTTGGGACTAGAGAGAGCAGGAGTTGTGAAGTATGTTGTCAGTCAGAATGTAGATGGCTTACACTTAAGGTCTGGCTTCCCAAGGTGAGGTATTATGGCTGTCCTCAATATATTCCTACTTGCATGTTTTCATTGACTAGGATAAATAATTATTTAATTATTTATTGTTATTATTGTTAATATACTAAATTAACTACTACTACTATGTAAATTGAAATAGACTGTATATCTTTTTCAGAACTTTGTTTAAGATACACAGCCTGCAAAAATAATCGGGGAAAAAAATATGATTTTGGATAGCCCATTTAAAGATGTACTGTCCCTTGCAAACAACAAAAATCATAAAAATCCTTTTTGAAATTTACTTGCCCATTTTATTACAAATAAAAATTATTAACTTGAGCATAGAAATTATTAAATTAAAAAAATGTGTTACCTGATTTTTTAACTGGATAATTATAATAAAGATAATAAAACACTTCTAGTGACTGAAAATGTTTCTATCATTTTTTCACTGTAAAATGATGGTTTTTATGGGTAAGCATTTTTTAAATACACTAATTTCTATGATTTTGGTCATTTTCAAGGGACAGTACATCTTTAAAAGATAAAAATAGTTATTAACTGTAAGTCCCAATTGGCCTTTCATAGCCCTATTGGCCTTCCATAGGCCAATTTGGGTAACAACCTTCATAAAGAATTTGAAGAAAGCATGCAACAAGTAGCACTCAGAGCATCAACATCTATTCAATCGTACTGTGTTTCAGTCATTCAAGAATTCAATCATTTCAATGTGTAGGATGATTAGACTTATTTATGTTTAACAGCGTTAAAGTTTAAATGTTGACAAGCTGAGATTGATCCAAGTTTATTATGATTTAACTAACTCAGCCTCCATTTATGTCTATTTTATGATTTAGTGTAGATAATAATTATACAATACTCTATGTTGAATTCTCAGTAGTTTGGACAATAGAGCTTGATTAAGTCATGGTGTAGTTTAGTATACTTTAGTTCATTTAATTGTTTATAACTCAATGAAATTAGTTGCAATGATGCCACATTTAGCAATATTATAATCTATTTAATTGAATTTATTCTATGTCATACTATCCATTACCTTTAATAGTTTTTGTATTCAAAATTGTTTGTTAATTTTATTTACAGTTTAAACCGGATGATTGTTTGATTTTCCAAAGGATTGTTCCAACAGATTATTTGTATCGGAATATGCTATCGGATTCGGATCAAATAAATTTATCATCACATATCCGTGTTTGAGTCGTCATTCGAACTACACCTAGTGATAGAGATCACATTAACTACCAGAAACATTTTTTTGGAAAAAAGTATTTTTTAATGATTTACAGACATATTACTACAAAATTTCATTAATTGATTACCAGCCAATTTAAAGGTCTATGCAAAAAAATACACCAAATGTTACTTTTTAAACTGTCCATTAACTGACTTGGGAAAATTTTATATACAAATTAAGCAAAAAAACATAAAAGAAATGACAGCAGCACTTTTAAAACTAATTTGTAAAATTTAATCTGAAGCTTTAATCCACATAGTGGACTTCATTAGGACACTGTACAAGTGGGATAGCATAACAGTGAGATACAATAATATGGAACACTGTACAAGTGGGATAGCATAACAGTGAGATACAATAATATGCAACTTTTCTACCTTTTAGCTCATGACAGTATGGTTTTAACATTTCATGTGTAATTTTTTTCTGTTGTGCTCTGTAGGAGAACAACAAAATAGTTGTGTATATTGTTGTTAAGTTTATTAGCAACTGGAACCAAATTTTGTATGTATCTTGTTATGCATCGCAACATTAAAGTTATCTTGTATGCTGTAAGTATATACTGCTAACATTATACTTTTTTTTTTTTTTTTCATAAACATTTTAACCTCAGGGATAAATTATCTGAGCTCCATGGCAATATGTATGTTGAAGAATGTGACAATTGTGGAAAGTAAGTGACGTTTATTGTCAAATGAATTTTCTTCTTGCAATTTTAATCTTTATCAATTGATGGACAGTTACATCGTGCCATCATAATTGGTAAACTGCATTTGTTTCTCAAAATAACCCTTTTTTACAAATGATGTGAATTATGAGAATTGCCATGTGCATATTAGCACCGAAATTATGATTGTTGAAAAATGATTATTGAGAAATGAAAATGTAGGTCTACATTTTGATTTCTTGTGCTGCCGTTTTTAATTTTCAATAATAAAATTTAAAAAAAAAATTAACATGTTTACACTTTGTTGTTTGTGATTCCTGTTTGTTCTCTACCTGTTGCTTTCGACACTGCGCCTTGAGCACCAATTTTTGGTGGTAATGTTTGTGCTTTAAAAATCATTATTATTATTATTATTAATATAGATTGCTGGATTGCTCATTGATTATTTTGTTAATTATTTATTTCTTAATTATATTGATTGATTGAATTGATTAATCCTGTCATTTAATGTAAATACACTTTCTAATATTTCTTTGATGTCTCTCTAAATGACTCTGAATTCGTAAGATATTAGGTGCTGTTTTCATTCTTATGCACATGTCAATTGTAGTTCCCCCCCCCCCTCGACACCCAAGCCATAGCAGGGCACTAGCTGGGACTGAGCCGGGGATATACACATAGTTGTTTCCCCATAGTGCCGGGACGTACCTAAAATTTACCCGTAGATAAATTACATAATATAATTTGAACCGCCAACCACACGCGAAGGACCGAGGTAGTGGCGCGTGTGAGTGTGTTGCGTGAAAACTAGTGAACCATGAATTTGACCTAGTTTGTGTCAAAAATACGCCAGTACATGAGCCAAGGCAAGGAAATCTGTTCCTACTACATGTATTTTATTTAGGCCTAATTTCTATTCTGATATTGAATAATTAAATTCTATCAATCAGTTTAATCAATCAATCAATTATTTTCTTTTTCTATGATCAACAGATTTTTTTTCGCACTTTTCCAAACTTCCATGGAAATCTGCTTAGTGATGATACGCATGCGTAGTGCTTCGATCAAGCAAGCTTATCTCCGTTGCCCTCTCCTGCCTAGCTCTCACATGCTTCTCTGATTCAGACCTACTGTAGGCAAGACCGTCAAGTAGGTCTTATCATCCAATCATAGCAGGGCATTTTACCGGGACTACGACGGTAAGTGGCGGGGACTTAGGGATGTACATTAAAACGATTCCCTGCATTGCCTGGAGGTGGCCGGGACTTTCACATGCATGCAACGGTTTTGGAATTTACATTCCAAAGGACTACAATTGACAAGTGCCTTATACTGTAAATTTTTCAGGCAGTATATTAGAACAACAGCAGTACCAACATTAGGGCTGAAACCCACAGGGAACCAGTGTACACAAAATAAGCCAAGAGGACGGTGTAGGTATGTAGCAGTTTCAATGATAGCCAATATATTTGGTATTAGCATAATGTTATGATTTTGGCTTTATGTATATTATTCTAGGATTGATCAATAAAATTAAAGGCTATTGTAGCTTATGGCATTCTACACCATAACACTAAGCTATCTATGCAACTATTTATTGTAAGCAAGTAAATAATGGAATTACTGGATAATAAAGTAATTTGATAATAAAGTAATCTATATCTGTACTCTACTGTAGTTTCAATGATGGAATGTTTGATATATATTTAAGGTAATAATTTAGTGATTATTACAAATTTATTCTGTTGCTAATTCTGAATTTATAATAAATTTCAGAGGAAAACTAAGGGACACCATCCTAGACTGGGAAGATGCTTTGCCTGTTAGAGACCTTGAACTTTCCGAACAACATTCCAGGTATAGAGAGATTGTTTATAGACTTCATATTCAAATTAATAGTTATGATAACATTGATGGTAAGGAGGTCTAATTTAAGTTATGATAACGGAGAGTGTACGTTGAATCTGAATCCCAGAAGAATTTTTTTTAAATGTTTACTATTTTAAAATGCTATTTACTAATGTGATTTGATGATGATTTCAAAGTAAGATGTAGAAACCAAGTTTCATTGAGGTTTGTTTTAGTCTAGTAACAAGGTAGGCCTACTTTGTTTATGTTATTTTTCTCCTCACAGTATTACAAATGTGTGTAATATATTTGCACTAAGAAGTATTGAAGGAGGTTGTACCGACATATTTACCAATCTATTGAGCCATTGACCGATAGTAATAATGTTACAAGTACTTAATACTTTCTTTGGATTATGAATGAGATGCTATATAAATCTTTGAAATGTATTATTTATTAAAGGAAAGCTGATTTATCTTTGTGTCTTGGAACATCCCTTCAAATAGTACCCAGTGGAAATTTACCCCTACTTACAAAGAAGAAGGGGGGAAAGTTAGTGATCGTCAATCTGCAAGCTACTAAACATGTAAGTTGGCATTTTTATTATTTTGTGGTAGTTACTGATCAAAATGAAACACAAGGGGGTGCTCTATAATATTTACACAATCTAAGTTCCCTAGATACTGTAATTATTTTTACCATCACTTGTAAACAATTGTCGTCACTTGTAAAATGTTAAATTATTGAATTCTGGAGGGCACTCTAAATGTTAAGATAGTGTAAAGTAGTAACATGCCCATCTATAATAATTACAAATTCACTGTCATAATGCTAGAATTATTGCACACAAAAGAGGTGCTTTAAACAAGTTTACAAGCACCTGGTATTAAGATACTCTAATCTATTTTTCTGTAAACTGGTTTTCAAGGAGAATCTCTACATTTGTATTTTAATTAGGTCATAAATTGTTGACACAATTGTCAGTGCAATTAGGATTAGTTCTGCGGTACATCATGTACATTACTGGAAATTTGTTATGAACTAACAGATATTTTAGTTTATAATTATTGTTAATGTACTACTAAAAAAGCAATACTAGTGGAAATTATTATACAAAGCTTAGATTAATGCATGAAAAAAATATTGTAAATATATTGAATTGAATTGAATTGAATTTATTCGACAGATGAGCAAATAGTTGATTTTTTTTTTCAAAACCTAGTCATGAGGTTGATTGACATTCTGATTGACATTCTTCAAAGAAGTAACAAAATTCACCTTTTTCACAAAAAAGCCTTTAGAAGAATAACCACATTGTTTTGTCACAAGTTACACCTCCATTCTCCCTGATACAGCTGTTGTAGTCATGCATGACCGAACAATACTAAGTGGTTATATATCCATGGAGTTAAATACTGTAGTAACTTAACACTTGAACTTGATCCAGTTTATCTCATCAATCCTAATAATATCTCACTAATCCCTTGATCCAGTTGAGTCATTGATCTTGTTTACATCATGACTAACAACTCTCAAACCATGTTCCCATTTACAGCCAGCACTTCACATTTTTAAGGGTTTTTTCTAAATGTACTTGAGTGCATCGTTATGCATTTCTTTCAATGGGAAACTTTGTTATCATTTTAATTAATCTTGTTTTGGTACTCTTTGATGATGGAATGTATGATTCATAACATCTTGAAAGCTTTATTACTGTTGTTATTATTGGAAACTTATAGGAAGGATTTTTGTTCAACCTTTCATTTTTTTCTTATTATTTTATTATTTAATTAGTTAAAATTGCATTAATGATATTACTTATGTCATTCAGAGTTACTGAAAGTATTTATTGGGAATTTCATTTAACAATATTTATTATCATTTATAGTTATTTATGAATTTACTTTTAAACTAGTGAGCCCCCATTGAGTACTTCAAATTGCTAATGCTGGTTTCATCCTCTTTTTTTTCCTGGTTTAAGATTTTTCATGGGTTAATTTCCATGTTTCAAGTTCCATTTTTGTCATGCTCTGTCTCTAGTGCCTTGTTGAGCACTATATAAACCTTATTTATTATTATAATTATTATTATTTAAATAATAGTTGTGTTGAATCTTGGTGGTAGAGGTGATGATTTGAATTTTTTGAAGAGTGACCAGGTCATTTGAGAGAGAGTGACTGACAGTATTGTACATTCCAGTGTATTTTTTTTTATGATTGGAAAGTAGAATGCCTGCATGCTGTGGCTCATTAGTTGTATTTTAGGCCATGTTTCCGCAGCACTTACAATTTCTCTGATAAATTATCTTAAAATTCCCTTCAAATTTGTTATTCCATCATCCAAAATTTTGGACAACAATGCAATGTGTTCAACATCAAAGCATCCGTTTTGTTGACCTAGCAGGTGACTCTTAGTTTGCGTGAGATGGGTAGGCCTAGGCCAAGAACGAAATCGTTCGGAATTGTTTCACCCTGGGAAGTGTACTGTCACAATGATGTTTGATGTCCTGTACTGTACTTCTGTAGGAATTGAAAAGAAGACAAAAAATGAATTCTAGATTTTTTTAATGTGTTTTACAGTACAATAGACGATAGGTAGGGATAGACCTAGGCCAAGCCAGGCACCGTCGACGATGAATGCAGCTGTTTCAGGCTTTTTTTTAATATATCTAAGAAATAAAACACGAAAAATTTACTCACTTTTTTATTTGAAGTATTTAATATAGGCCTAGGCCTCCTAACTACTAGTAGTAAAACTACCCAAAATAGTTCTTTTCATGACCGTGATATGACATCTGTCAAAGGTTATTTATTTTCACATTCGGAGCTTTTTCCGATAATTTATCTCTGCTTCATACGAAAATTAATCGGATAATTTGGGACCCATTTCCACTTAGATTTTTTTTAAATATATCCGAGTAATAAAGCATGAAAAATTTACTCACTTTTTTATTTGAAGTATTTAATATAGGCCCAGGCCTACTAACTACTAGTTTCCTTAGTAACTAACTACCCAAAATAGTTCTTTTCATGACCGTGATATGACATCGGTCAAAGGTTATTTATTTTCACATTTGGAGCTTCTTCCGATAATCTGCTTCTCATACGAAAATTTATCGGATAATTTGGGACCCATTTCCACTTTGATTTTTTAAAAATATATTCGAGTAATAAAGCATGAAAAATTTACTCACTTTTTTATTTGAAATATTTAATATAGGCCTAGGCCTACTAACTACTAGTTTCCTTAGAAACTAACTACCCAAAATTATTCTTTTAATGACCATGATTTGACATCGGTCAAAGGTTATATATTTTCTCATTCGGAGCTATTTCCGATAAAGTATCTGATTCTCATACAATAATTATTGGATAATTTGGGACTTACAATATTGATGCTTCCCGATAATTTATTGGATAATAAGTGCTGCGGAAACACCGCTTAAGGCCTAAGTATACTGTTGAATAGACCACATCTGAATTCCAGTATTGCATGTCTACATGTTGCAATGCTAGTGCCATTATCTAGGTGACAGTATTGCATGTTTTTATTTGCATTGTTCATATAGTTTTTATTTTCATTTTTTGGGGATAATGAATTTTTTTTATTTTTTTTTATGAAACATATCACATCTATACAGTACTTATTGTTAATTGCATGTTCTAAAGTTATACGTAACATTATTAACATTATTAATATCATCACTTTATTAATGTTTAATTACTATATTATTAATAAGGGCCCGTTCGAGCTAAAAATGCCAACAGTATTCCGTTTATTTCACTGGGTAATCGCGCTGATCACTCAGCGGATGGTCGATCGTTCGAGCAAGTTTTAGCTCACGGTAAATTCAACCACGCCTGGGCCATGACCTATTGAATTTAGCGCTGGGCTGTGGACAAAACATTTGGAAAAACAATTATGGTTGATTTATCATTGCCTCCGGCTCCTTGGTCATTCCATACACGGTATTCTATCCAGTAATTTTGTGGTCAAAATTGTCGCTGATAATCCAGATGGTAAGGTAATTAGACTAGTGTCCGAGCGGTTTTAGAAAGTGTGTACCGGTAAATTAACTGGTAATTCGCACAGATATTTTTTCGCTCGAACGGGCCCTAATTGATGCTTTTATAATCATCTCTCCCTTGCAGTAAACCCCATTTTTCCAGCAGCTCATCTGTTATTTTTTTTTTTTTTTTGTTAATGATACCTTTTTTGTACTTACTTTTATAGGATAAGAAAGCTGACCTCAAGATCAATTATTATGTTGATGATATCATGTCCCGTTTAATGGATCATCTAAAAATACCCATACCAGCTTACAGTGAACCATGGTCAACTATTACTCAAGCAAAAACTGACAGTAAAACAATTGTACCATCAACCATTAAAGGAGAATATGACTCTGAAACAATCAAAGAGGAAATTTGTTTTAACTCTGTCATAGCAGAAAATAATTCCTTTCATGAACTGAAAGAGCATGAACATCATGATGAGAATAATGAAACAATCACAGAATTTGTATGCACAGGTACCAAAAGAGAACATACGAGTAGCCAGGAATTTAATATAAAATTAGATTGCACTGACAGAGGTCCAACCATCTGTAAATTAGTCAAACAACAGAGAAATTTGAACCCATAGTTTTACAATATTTTCTGTTTTTAGTTAAGATATACCATATTTATTCAACTACTGTAAACAGTCCCCGACCCCCCGAAAAGAGCCTCATTTGGAATAAACATCTCCCTCATATAAACGTCTCCTTAAATTACTATAAACAAAAGTAATGGAAGGAACATCAATCTCAACACATTCTATTAATATTCTGCTCTAGTAGAATTACAAGTCTTCATGATCACACAATAACACATTTTAATGGTAATTAAGTGTTGTACTGTAGTTCCAAATTTACAGTTAAATTAAAGGGCGTTTATTTGAGTATATACTTATCCATTTAAGCCAAAAAAATAAATAAAAACCTCCCTCAAATAACAGTCTCTCGAATAAATTCCCCTCAGAAAACCCCTCTGAACAGTATATGCCCCAGGGTGTTTATTCAAATAAATATGATAAATACATTTCAAAGGTGGTGCTGGTTATAATTTTATATTGTTGTTGCCCAAGAACAATAATTATTCGGAATCAGGACTGGATTTTACTATAGGCTTAGGCCTAATACAAGGGCTCATGGATAACCATCACTCTTCCCATGAAATTTGGTGGGTGAAGTGGTAATCACTGGGCTAAAAACACATGGTACAGGTATCATATTAATTATTTCTGGCTTTTTTCTAAAACAAAGATTTTGGCTTGGTCTAGCTTGGGCAACAAAACAATTTTTTGCCTTATATTTTATTTTTCGAAATATATTATTATTGGTATTGTTATTATTATTATTGTTATTATTATTATTATTATTGTTATTATTATTATTATCATTAACACAGCATTGTTTTACATTGTTCTGAATAAATGTATTATATACAAATTGTGTTATATTGCTAGCTAGTATATTTTTGTGTCGCGTCACTTCATTTCTTTAATATTATTTATTGATGGTGTTCAGAGGAACCACATGTTTAATCAAAGATGGAGCATGTATATTGTTTAGAAATAAATTCACAAGCAGTAGAGAGACCATGGGTGAGGAGGCAGTAGCGAGACAATGGGTGAGGAGGTAGTAGCGAGACAATGGGTGAGGAGGCAGTAGCGAGACCATGGGTGAGGAGGCAGTAGCGAGACCATGGGTGAGGAGGCAGTAGCGAGACCATGGGTGAGGAGGCAGTAGCGAGACCATGGGTGAGGAGGCAGTAGCGAGACCATGGGTAAGGAGGCAGTAGCGAGACCATGGGTGAGGAGGCAGTAGCGAGACCATGGGTGAGGAGGCAGTAGCGAGACCATGGGTGAGGAGGCAGTAGCGAGACCATGGGTGAGGAGGCAGTAGCGAGACCATGGGTGAGGAGGCAGTAGCGAGACCATGGGTGAGGAGGCAGTAGCGAGACCATGGGTGAGGAGGCAGTAGCGAGACCATGGGTGAGGAGGCAGTAGCGAGACCATGGGTGAGGAGGCAGTAGCGAGACCATGGGTGAGGAGGCAGTAGCGAGACCATGGGTGAGGAGGCAGTAGCGAGACCATGGGTGAGGAGGCAGTAGCGAGACCATGGGTGAGGAGGCAGTAGCGAGACCATGGGTGAGGAGGCAGTAGCGAGACCATGGGTGAGGAGGCAGTAGCGAGACCATGGGTGAGGAGGCAGTAGCGAGACCATGGGTGAGGAGGCAGTAGCGAGACCATGGGTGAGGAGGCAGTAGCGAGACCATGGGTGAGGAGGCAGTAGCGAGACCATGGGTGAGGAGGCAGTAGCGAGACCATGGGTGAGGAGGCAGTAGCGAGACCATGGGTGAGGAGGCAGTAGCGAGACCATGGGTGAGGAGGCAGTAGCGAGACCATGGGTGAGGAGGCAGTAGCGAGACCATGGGTGAGGAGGCAGTAGCGAGACCATGGGTGAGGAGGCAGTAGCGAGACCATGGGTGAGGAGGCAGTAGCGAGACCATGGGTGAGGAGGCAGTAGCGAGACCATGGGTGAGGAGGCAGTAGCGAGACCATGGGTGAGGAGGCAGTAGCGAGACCATGGGTGAGGAGGCAGTAGCGAGACCATGGGTGAGGAGGCAGTAGCGAGACCATGGGTGAGGAGGCAGTAGCGAGACCATGGGTGAGGAGGCAGTAGCGAGACCATGGGTGAGGAGGCAGTAGCGAGACCATGGGTGAGGAGGCAGTAGCGAGACCATGGGTGAGGAGGCAGTAGCGAGACCATGGGTGAGGAGGCAGTAGCGAGACCATGGGTGAGGAGGCAGTAGCGAGACCATGGGTGAGGAGGCAGTAGCGAGACCATGGGTGAGGAGGCAGTAGCGAGACCATGGGTGAGGAGGCAGTAGCGAGACCATGGGTGAGGAGGCAGTAGCGAGACCATGGGTGAGGAGGCAGTAGCGAGACCATGGGTGAGGAGGCAGTAGCGAGACCATGGGTGAGGAGGCAGTAGCGAGACCATGGGTGAGGAGGCAGTAGCGAGACCATGGGTGAGGAGGCAGTAGCGAGACCATGGGTGAGGAGGCAGTAGCGAGACCATGGGTGAGGAGGCAGTAGCGAGACCATGGGTGAGGAGGCAGTAGCGAGACCATGGGTGAGGAGGCAGTAGCGAGACCATGGGTGAGGAGGCAGTAGCGAGACCATGGGTGAGGAGGCAGTAGCGAGACCATGGGTGAGGAGGCAGTAGCGAGACCATGGGTGAGGAGGCAGTAGCGAGACCATGGGTGAGGAGGCAGTAGCGAGACCATGGGTGAGGAGGCAGTAGCGAGACCATGGGTGAGGAGGCAGTAGCGAGACCATGGGTGAGGAGGCAGTAGCGAGACCATGGGTGAGGAGGCAGTAGCGAGACCATGGGTGAGGAGGCAGTAGCGAGACCATGGGTGAGGAGGCAGTAGCGAGACCATGGGTGAGGAGGCAGTAGCGAGACCATGGGTGAGGAGGCAGTAGCGAGACCATGGGTGAGGAGGCAGTAGCGAGACCATGGGTGAGGAGGCAGTAGCGAGACCATGGGTGAGGAGGCAGTAGCGAGACCATGGGTGAGGAGGCAGTAGCGAGACCATGGGTGAGGAGGCAGTAGCGAGACCATGGGTGAGGAGGCAGTAGCGAGACCATGGGTGAGGAGGCAGTAGCGAGACCATGGGTGAGGAGGCAGTAGCGAGACCATGGGTGAGGAGGCAGTAGCGAGACCATGGGTGAGGAGGCAGTAGCGAGACCATGGGTGAGGAGGCAGTAGCGAGACCATGGGTGAGGAGGCAGTAGCGAGACCATGGGTGAGGAGGCAGTAGCGAGACCATGGGTGAGGAGGCAGTAGCGAGACCATGGGTGAGGAGGCAGTAGCGAGACCATGGGTGAGGAGGCAGTAGCGAGACCATGGGTGAGGAGGCAGTAGCGAGACCATGGGTGAGGAGGCAGTAGCGAGACCATGGGTGAGGAGGCAGTAGCGAGACCATGGGTGAGGAGGCAGTAGCGAGACCATGGGTGAGGAGGCAGTAGCGAGACCATGGGTGAGGAGGCAGTAGCGAGACCATGGGTGAGGAGGCAGTAGCGAGACCATGGGTGAGGAGGCAGTAGCGAGACCATGGGTGAGGAGGCAGTAGCGAGACCATGGGTGAGGAGGCAGTAGCGAGACCATGGGTGAGGAGGCAGTAGCGAGACCATGGGTGAGGAGGCAGTAGCGAGACCATGGGTGAGGAGGCAGTAGCGAGACCATGGGTGAGGAGGCAGTAGCGAGACCATGGGTGAGGAGGCAGTAGCGAGACCATGGGTGAGGAGGCAGTAGCGAGACCATGGGTGAGGAGGCAGTAGCGAGACCATGGGTGAGGAGGCAGTAGCGAGACCATGGGTGAGGAGGCAGTAGCGAGACCATGGGTGAGGAGGCAGTAGCGAGACCATGGGTGAGGAGGCAGTAGCGAGACCATGGGTGAGGAGGCAGTAGCGAGACCATGGGTGAGGAGGCAGTAGCGAGACCATGGGTGAGGAGGCAGTAGCGAGACCATGGGTGAGGAGGCAGTAGCGAGACCATGGGTGAGGAGGCAGTAGCGAGACCATGGGTGAGGAGGCAGTAGCGAGACCATGGGTGAGGAGGCAGTAGCGAGACCATGGGTGAGGAGGCAGTAGCGAGACCATGGGTGAGGAGGCAGTAGCGAGACCATGGGTGAGGAGGCAGTAGCGAGACCATGGGTGAGGAGGCAGTAGCGAGACCATGGGTGAGGAGGCAGTAGCGAGACCATGGGTGAGGATGAGGAATTTATTGATTAGGCCTATAATAGCAAATTGCATCAATTTATTTTGCAAAAACAAGGTTTCCAGCTTCAGAGGGGGGCACATCCCCTTTCCGCACAAGGGCACACATTGGCGCTAACACCAAGCGCGTAACAGGGGTCTTGGGTCAGAGTGGGTATTTATTTTCCCGGTTAGTAATTTTAGGAACTTTCAGAGGATGCATTTGTCAAGGGGTGGGGAAAGATTTCCAAAGATGGATATTTTCCCCTCCCCCCCCCCCGGTGTTTTTAATTCTAATTTCGTTGGAATTGATCAAAATTCCCTAAAATGTGCAATTTTAGACTAAAATGGCCCATGCACGAAATTTGAGGTTTTTGGGCACTTTAGATATTTTCCCCTTGTCCCCCAGTGGTTACACCATCGGGCAGCATAGATCAAAGGAGGCAAATATGGGTAAGCATTCAAATATAGCATGGATATGCGTTTGCCATGACCTTGTACGATCAGCTTCGATAAGCTTGCGAGTAACTCCAAGCATTTCCTGATAGTTAAGCCACAGTTTGCTTGATTTTGACCTATTAGATAATTCACACATTTTAGAATTCAGAGCATCGACGATCTTGTTAAGGCAGTTTGATTTCAATAATGTGTCTAAAGCTAGATGCTGATTGGCTAAAGTGTTTGATTCATTTCCCTTGTTTGACCGTGATCTTTTCTCTTTTTTTTTTGAAATTAAAAGGATTTTTTATTATATTAACTTAATTATGCATATCACCTAAAAAAATAAACTTGCATTTAATATAAAAATAACATTACGTCATTATTGACATAATGACGTCATTTTGACATAATGACGTCATTGTGTATGTTATGATGTCACTTAAAATACTTCAGACACCTTCAAGACATTATGCACTTAGCAAAATATGCAGTATTTTTAGTAATATTTACATTCAAAATGGTAGATTATTGTTGAATTCCACATTTATGAGTAGATTTTACTCATTTTTACACATTTGGCGGCCATCTTTGTTTTACCTCATATTTTGAACCTTTCTGGTGGTCCGATTTTTGCCAACTTTTGATATGTTATTCCCCACATGTTATTGTACATAAAACCATCATAAAACCTTTTCTTGCAATTTTTTTGGGGTAAGTGCATTTTCTTCGTATTTTGACTCTACTATTAAGGAAATCAGGAAGCTCGGCTGCAGCAATTGTGACCAACTCACATGTGCGACTATACTCAATGAGGTTCTGCAAAGTATATAAATCATCATCATTAGTCTTCATCATCACCATTATCATTACCATCTTCATCGTCGTTGGTGTTTAATGATGTTAGTGGTCGCTTCTGATAAGCCCTCTCTCATAAAAGAAGCTTTAAATTGAGAAGTATTTATTTTAAAATAAATTTAATCTGCGTCGCCCATGAGCCAAGGTGTTATGTTCAACTACTTAGTGTATTTGGCAAATAACACAAGATGTGCTTAATATGGTACAAAAACTAAAATGCATTAAAGATATAATGATAATGTATATACAGTATTGTAATGGTAAATCATAAACATGATATAATACTTAATCTAAACAATTAAAATATATTATTGAAAGAAGCTATTACAATAATTTAATTATTTAGCATTATTTGCTATTAGGACAATATACAATTTAATAAACCCTGAATAAAATATGAAATCTAAAAGAGTAGTAAGATACTTTGAATTACAATAAAGTCCTAGATAATTAGTTATTACAAATAATTTAAATGTTTTAAATGTAAAACGGTAAAACGTAAAATCCAACGACAAACATATATTTTACAACAATTTGTACGGTACATTTAAAAGAACCTAAATCTTAATAGCTTTCGTGTAGTCATCAGCCTGTACTAATTACATCATTTAACGTCCGTTCAAATATACAATTTTCTTTTGTATAATGTTTCAATTGAAAGGCAAGAACTTATTCAAGTATACAAATCAGACAAGTTTTTTACTTCTTAACGAATGTTCGTTGTAATGTATGTTTAAATTGTACCTATTATGATAGACGTACTTGTTTATGATATCTGTGACGGACAGAGAGAGGCAAAAAGACTCCTCCTGTCCTTCCTCGGCAACAACCAAAGAATTATTGTTAACTGACAGTCAAGCGAAGAGCTTCCTGATTACTAATTATTTTTAACTAAAAATATAGCCTGATTAATGAACAATTCTCGTGGTTTATGCCGACCGTTTATGCACATGAGTTGCGGGACCGGTCTTCTAAATACGATATATACAAGAAATAAACTAATGATTTAATTTGACGTCATCGCATTGATGGACATTCAAAAATATTAAGTTTATATAATAGGTAAAATTTCTAGGTAGTAATTAATGTATTGTTTAAATGTTGAATTCAAATAACTGTTCGTTTTTAAACGTTATATATGTTGTCTTTTGTATGAGTTTCTTCAACGTTCTGTTTTCCGTCGGTGTCGTGCTCAAGCTGTGAACTGATGTTGAAGACACCTTCTGTAGATTGCGCGTCTGCAGGGCCTGCGATGTTGTCCGTAGATTTTGCGTCCTCGTGGGTTACCGTACCTTCGACATTGTCAAGGCTATATGTTTTGTCGCTTTTGACTGTATAAATGACGAAAATGAGTACCACTGCTAGAAATACTACTATGCACGCTGCGACAATTGCGATCACAGCTTCGGTAGTAAGTTGCGCCTCTGGCACAGGGATAGAAGGTTTGGTAGGGCCATCAGTGATTTCCTTTGTTGGTTCTATTGACGGCACAGGTGTACCGCTCGACAAGATCAGAAACAGAGAGGCAACGCTCGACATATCTAATGCCGCATACGATGCCATACATTCTACAATAGTACCGTTATCTTCTTCTTGGAAATCAAGAATATGTAAAATTCTCATATTGTCCTCAGTATAGTAACGCTTTTGAAGAAGAACATTGAAACTGATTGTCCATGAGTATGTCAGTGGCTGTTGGCCTACCGCATCACAGATAAAGGTAACGTTCGAACCGTTTTCAATCCTGCCAATTTGGATTAGGCGTGCATCGGGCGGCTGTGGAAACGGCACGACTTCACACGACTTCTCAACTGAAAGAAATTCACTGAACGCCTCACAAGTAAATACCAAATTTTCGTCCGTGGCCTGAAGCGTCCATGCGATGATGGAATTAGTAGTTTGTTGGTCAAACGAAAGAGTTTCTGTCGCTCTCATCCATGTTATATCTGGAGAAGGGTTCCACCCACTGGACGAACACTGGAGGTTAATTTGATCACCTGGTCTTGGTGCCCTCGTCCTTCCAAAATAATCTATGCTACATTCAGGGCGTGGCAACAGTACGGTCAGCTTCGCCCTGGCTAAATTTCTAAAGGGCTCATTTGATTGTTCTATGTACCCACATTGGTACTCACCATTATCGATAGACTGTAAGTCAGTGATCTGTAAAGTATATTCAGATACCGTGTCACCATTTCTAGCGATTAAGTCTTGAATAATAATGCTGTAGCGATTTCGCTTGTTGATGTCCGTAGTAAAAACGATCGACCCTATAGTGAGGTACGAGTTCGATTCTAAATGGTACCAGACAATATTCTCGTCTGATAAGATTTCCCGCACTCGGCATGATAAACGAATCGTTTCACCAGCAACTGCATCAAAATCTCGCGGTCCTTCCACAAGGACAAGACACCACGACCTCTGTAATACAGCAATTATTACCACCAGGTAGAAAGTAACTCTCATGTTTATAGTTTCAAAGTTTATTCGTGCTAGCGATGCTCCCGAACCACAAATGAGAGATGTTTTGCCTGTAATATAATTTTCTCGTTAAAAAATATTTGTGCTGATCTCCAAGCTGTTATGAAAACAAAAGTGGTGGATTATGATAAGATTCTGAGCACTGACACTTCACCTTCGAAATGCATAGTTACCGTATTCTACTGGTCGTCACACGCCACTGCGTGAACGAAAGCTCCTGATATTTATATAAAGTCTGTAAAAATGCTGCCTTTCATTATTTATTTCTGTATATTAATCTCTGTTGAAGAAAAGATCGCTGACCGGAACTGAATAAAAGTAATTAGCTCTAAGATTCTATTGGCTACAAAATGTAAAGCATTATTCTACGTTTAGGAAATTCTAAAAATTAGTCACCAGTAGGCCTAATAATAGTCTTTTTTCCATTTCTATTATGGTTTATAATTGTCTATAATGTTATGTTATAATGATGACACGTACATGATGCTATCAACCATGATCTAATTTAAAGAAAGCTCTCGTACTGCCAGTAATAATTTATATATGTCTATTTCAGTAATTATTTAATATTTTGATATTCTTAATGACTAATGCATCTGCAGTCATTTTTTTTTTATTTAATTAAAATTCTTGATGTTTTATCTTTAAACTTAAATGATAAATTTGTAAATTTAATTGATGTATGTGTCTCTGTGATTGTCACTTGTTTTAAAATTTATTTATAATAATAATTGCCGACTTATATAGCGCATATTGTAGAGACCTCTGTGCGCTTACATTATGACGTTTTATCTTTTATAATTATTATTAGCTTGTTTTGTCTTGGGTGTCTTTTAATAACAACTTTGTTTCGCAATTCAGCTCTGTGCTACTAGTAAACAATTTTATGTATACTAGTATATTTTTGAATTTGAATGAATAAAAAATACCTGAATATAATAATAATAAGTGTATTACAGTCAAGATATTAAAAGAAGAAAAGTACTAGCTTCTGCATATAACAAAATGAAAAACGTATTCGAAAGCAGAAAATTAACAAGCTGAGATTATTTAATGCGTTTGTAGGAAGAATACTAATTTTCTTTACAATAGCGAACTCTGCACTGTAAAAACAGCGTAGAGAATTTAAACACAAAACTCCACGCAATGTTGTATCGTCTTTGGTGACACGTTTAAAATCTAAACATGTTTAGACATATCTTAATGTATTTAGGATATTGACGTGTTTAGCATTAAATGTGCTTAGGTATTTGACATCATGATGTCAAATACCTAAGCACATTTAATGCTAATCATCAGAAGCCTAAACACATTAGGCCTGACCTAAACACGTTTAGCTTTTAAACGTGTCACCAAAGACGGGACAACATTGCGTGGAGCTTTGTGTTTATAATGCTTCACAATTTGTTTACAGTGTGGGTACTCGAACAAAATATTGATGCATTTCAAGGGAGAATAAGGAAAATGTTAAGTATCGGATGGTCAGTCAGTAACTTCGAGTTATATCAAATCACTAAACAGAATAAGTGGAGTTACAATTAAAGGACGTCGGTTAAATGGTATGGACACTTGAAAAGACTACCCTTAAAAATGGCGATAAAAAAATTACAGAGAAAAATAAGACGACCAAAAGGAAATTTAACATGGATCGTGAAAGTTGAAAAAGAAATCGAACACGCAATAGAAAAACACAAACCCATCCTGCCCATGACAAAAGCAATTGTCCCGAAATAGTAGAGAGCGTTATGTTGCATGAAGGAAGACGTTACTAAATGATGATGATGATGATGATGATCACATGGGCGTCGATCAGTGGGGACAGGGAACACACGTTCCCCCACTTTTCAAAGTAGGGGGACATCACATCAATTGTCCCTCCCACTTTTCAAAGCGAGTGGAAAGAAGAACAACATTTACGAATGGCTATTTTGAATTTCGTCTGTTCACTTGTACTCTCTTCCAAGTACGGTATGTATTTCCGGACCAAAACAGAGAAAAAACGCAATTGTTTGTACATTTCGTATCCATTTCAGTAACGACTCCATCGATTTTATGGGTGCAACGGTTATCAGAGGCTAAATTAATTGTGACAACAATGTACTGTACGTTGTCAAAATTTAAAGCCTATTAGACCAACATTTTTTCAAATTAAAAAGTGTACAATTTTTACTATAAATGATTTATTTCTTTTGTATATTATTATGACCATACTAGTGTTCGATATTATCTGCATACATAGATTCCTGTTCTTCCTAATTTCAAAAAAGTATAGGCCTAGTTAGTCAATTGCATTTTATATAGCCTTTATTAAACAGTAATTATACAGCGATTATATCGATCTATTTTGACTTGTGTAAGTAGTGATACCACAAGTTTACGAACTCCAACGTTACGTTGACGCAATATCGCTATGTCGAGGTCATGATAATTATAAATTAAGTAAAATAACATTTATGTTGGTGAAAAAATGCTAACTATTATGTTTTGAGTGCTTCCTATCTCACTATTTCTGTTTGATCGTAATTAGACGGTAGTATTTTCACTTACAATAGTTCAGTCGAAATACTACTTGCACAAAAGTGAAATTCAAAGAGAGGAGAAAAGGAAAATCCTCTTGATTAAAAGTACTTTAAATGCAAAGAGGCTAAATTAGTGTGACTGCTTTAAGTATATCTTACTTGTTTTTCATGGTTCGAATACGTCACAAACTAATCTGTAGAAGATAATAAATCATTATTTTTATAAATGTATAAACAAAAATAAACAAAATATATAAGAGGGCATGAGATTTTTAAAAACATTTTTTTATGATGAGTATTTCAGTGGTAGATTCAAGGGAGTCAGCCGGCTGAGAGTGCCATTTCCGGCCAATTAGAGGTGCTATAATTATAAATTTGCTTACTTTAGCCCCAACAATGGGTCTTAGGTGGTCTACACTCCATCAGTAAAAGTCCCTCCATGCACCCCCCCCCCCTTTTATTTCGAATTCCTGGATCCGTAGTGTGGAAATAAATGTTAATTACTTTCCTTAAAATCAAGAGATACGACTTATAAAAGGCTATACACGCCAGAGCTTCAAGGGCCTTCGCGCCCTTGACCTCATTCTACGGCCGAAGACTTCATTATTTT